CACACAAATTAATTACCTACTTAGCACCTAGAGGTTTGTTCTCCTTAATTTTTAGTATTATTTTGCATGCTTACTCATATAATGGATAACGTCATATTTGCATAATAACTACGTACGCTTTGTTGTAAAAGAGCGAAGTCTCCTAACACAGGCATATCTTGCTTAAAAGGAGGCTTCAATCACAATATTGTAAGCACAAAAACCTGTTTTGCAAATAAACGATTTTTATTTTTTTTATTTATTTATAGATTCCCAATAATACATTACGTAGTAGTTTTACTCATTCACTACTACGAGTAATCTTTTAACTGGATACTTAATATGCTATTCTTTAGGAAGTATCGACCTTTTGCACAATAAATTAAATCTTAGAATATAAAAGAGGCAGAGCAAGACCTGCTTTAATTGCAGGAAGTCGCTGGATGCAAGTCACTTCCAATAGTCCAATCTGGGAATTATTTGGGGAGGCCTATGTCTAACTGTGGACTTTATCTGACTGATATGACGATATAAAATATGACAAACTGGTAATTGATTTTCCCTATGAAACCAGTGCAGAACATCATTTAGTAGGTACTCTCGCAGATACAATACGCACATTCCTAAACATTCAACAACCCAACCGCACGCCATGTCACAACAAACATTCAACAATTCTTAAAATTCGGAAATAAAACCTATCATTTTGCGGCTTACCAATCATACTGTTTACCAGACCAAACAACTTAACATAAAAATATAAATAAATAATGCTACAGACTTTTTACTACACGACCTCGGAAGTATTTGCAGTCCCTAACATTCAAGATTGTGGTATGCATCACTTTTCCTTCAAAATAGTTTCAAATGACTGCGCTTCAAGTGCGCAAAGTAACGTGTACCGCCACTTGACCAAAAACAACTTTATATCAAATATATTCTTTCAAATATTATCTATACTAATATTATAAGGAGGTAAAATTTGTAAGTTTGTATGTAGGGGGTAAACTTTGGAACCGCTCTGGTCGGATTGCCAAAATTCTTTCACTGATAGAAAGCTACAATGTTCCCGAGTGCTATAAAAATTACTACGATCAAATGGAGCCGAGCAGCAGGTGAAACCGCATGAGAGTAGTATCAAATATATTCTTGCAAATAGGACAACAATCAGAGAGTTGTCAGTCATAGAGTGTCCTTGAATACTTTGGTCACATTGATGGTAACAACCTGAAGAGTAACCGAAGACTTATTGTGACCGGTAAAGTGGACGGGAAAACGTGGATTGCAGGCTCGTGGTTGCAGGCCCATACGATGTTCCGATAAGATCCCATCAGATCCTCACTGCTCTAGACTCCACTACCCAGAATGCCCTCCACACCGCTATCGACAGAACAAGGGGTAGCAAAAGGGTGGTCAGGACCCTCAGAAATGAGGAATGTGATGCATGAAGGAGGAGGAAAACAATACGTAACAACCAAAACACGAGACATGGTAAACGTTTGTGTGAACAAATGCTGTTAAAACTGCGAGAGTTGCGCATTCAAACATGCTTCTCCTAGACATCAGAACAGAAACAATAATTTGTAGACTATGGTCATCAATAGGGTAGTTTTTGACAGTTAAAAAATATGACAATTATCTTTGAATCCTGTGTGTGTATTTCACATAAAACTGCACATTGTGACGTCATATTATGCTTACGCCAAACATTATCTAAAACGAATTATTGAGTTGGTCGTAAAATTTATGAATGTAAGTGCAATTATTATGGTAATGTATTAATAAATATATACAATGACACATTTGACATACCCGTATTCTTTCTAAAATCAAATCAATCCAGTATCCAGTCCATCAGGCGCAGGCCACGAACCATAGATAGACCTAGACTAGTTTTATAAGTTGAAACTATGTCTTTATTACCAAAAGTTGTCATCTCCAGCATTCGGCTGTAATGTCCCAAAGAATTCGGTTCTGAGATCACACATATTTCGGACACGACACCCAGCAAATAACCAGTCTATTATTGTGTCATTAATTTGACATGTCCTAAATCTATTGAATATCGAGATTGTTATGTTTGTCGCGAACATTGGCACATACCAAACGATGATTTATTCAAGCTTTTATAAAATATTTGCTCGCGATCTGACAATGATGAAGACATTACGAGTCGTGTCGGTGTGTATACTGTAAGTAGATGTACCGATCACTTATGTTTAATCCTTCTGTCTGGTATAAGCAGAATTCAAGCGTGATTCACATCAATGTTAAGAGCTTGCTTCCGAAACAATTTGTGTGTCCACAGTATTCTGTGCAAAAAAATAAAGCACAGTCTCAATATCTTTGTCCTTTATATTAAGCACAGTCTCAATATCTTTGTCCTTTATATTAAGGACAAAGATATTGAGACTGTGCTTTATTTTTTTTTTTACTACAACTACGACAAACAGTCTGCTCATGAGTATTTAAATTATCATATTATAATACTGGCTACTGCCGGTTATACACTCTGCTCAGCTCTAGACTCTTGGTGGTAGCGTGATGTTCTATAGCTTCCTAGATGCATGGTTAATCCAACACATAAATAAAATTATTCCATTCGAACCAATAGTTCCTGAGATGAGCGTCCAGAAAAATAAACAATCTTCTTTCTTTCAGCTTAATAACAATAAATAGTGTAGATTCTAAGAGACGTTATACGCTACGACTACTTTAATCCCTTTTTAATTTTCTTCTTACTTTATACCTTATTAGGGTATTTTAGGCACCTTGACAAGCGAGTTCTTAGTAATACCTAATACAAAAATTGCTTCCGTTTTTCCCTCGAGACAGTCAAATGCATTATGTTATCCTTTCAAAAAGTTTATGGTATGCCACCACCACGTTTTAAATGCTTCTATAAAATTGAATAGTAACAATTAATTATGGCGACATTCCGAGTCTGTGCCTTCTATTTGCAAAATACTTAAATATTTGACGAAAAGGCCTCAAATTTTGTCCGCAGTTCACAAGTTCTTTACAGATCAACGAACATTACTTGATCTATAGAATCTGCATAAAATTTATTTATTCTTAATAGGTCAGCGAGGTGTGCAAGCGGAATGAACCTCCCAGCACGGATCAGGAGAAGAAAAAGGAATGGCGTTATCTTTTGTCAATAAGAGTCTGACATGCCCATTTTGCCCCACTCAAGGCGGGTCATCTTCCAATATTTTCCCAACAAAAAAGAAGAACAAGGCTGACATACAATAAAAATCCATATTCACCTAACAAATTAATGTCCTACAATAAAACAGCTAATGTTTCACCCATTTTAAAATTAAAACTTTTCAACAGCCATTTAGACTTTTCGCCAAATCCTATTTAGGGATTTTCTATCCATGTTCAATCGCATGCAAACTTGACTATTGCGCGATTTTTGACAACATGATTTATTATTTTTCTGAAGAACTAAGTTCTTCGATTCGCACATAGAAGTTGAGTGACAGTGATCTATCCATAATAATCTCTAAAGTCCAAAACTAGCCTAATAAAATATTATAATGGTTGCGCCGAAGTCCAATGACTTTTGTGCAGCATAGTATTTCGCCTATTCTCGTAAAAACCACAGAATATTTAGTGCAGAATTTACATTTAAGTGGTTATAAGAAGATAAGTTTTAAAACTATAGTTTTGAGAGCTTTGAAAATTGCATAAAGGATACAAGTTATTATTGTATTACATTGACATGCAATAGGCCGCTGACCTTAGATAATAACTACAATTTATGACTATTGCCAAGTAGGCCAAAATCTTCAATCAAAGTAATATCTCAAAGTCACAACAACAGCTTTAGATTTTTCTATAAACAATCGAAGATTTCATAAATTCGTATCTAATTTAAAATTATCGAATGCTTTCTTGTCCTCATGATCACCAGTCTATAAGTGTTCACTGCTAAGCAAATGTCCTCACAAAAAGAAGGTAGGTAGCAGCATTTCAAGGCAGATTGGAGATTTAAAACTTGTAATTACAATGTGATTTATATATAATTATATTAGAAAAGTAACATAGGCACTTGCCTGGTTTCGAAACCATCTAGCTAATCTTCGAGGCAACACGACCTGTGTCGAGTTTCGAGTGGCGACTAAATTGTCCGGATTGACTGAGCTCGACTAGGAATGAAACAGATTTTCTTCAATTGACTCTCACAAATACAAATTGACCATAATGGGCGTATGTATCTATGTCATAATAATCAGATTACGTTTAGTAAGGTAGCTAAGAATAGTGCTACTTTACTGAGCGAACAAAGACGGTTTTATAAACATAGATTTATCAATCCATTCACGACAATAACTCCAGAAGCTTCAAAAATGTATGAACGGGAAACTACTAGACATCAGCTGGGATTGCGGCGCGACCCCAGGCCGGGGCAGGAGAAGAAACCGAGAGGTTTTAAGACGGTAAGAGTCTTCTTCTCGTCCCACCCAAGGCGGAACAAACACGAAAGAAATAACTTGATTATTTTCCTAAAGAAAAAAAGGGACTGCAAAATATAATGTTACCCTTGTGGCTCGTTTTAATTACTATAGATAGCAGTCTAGTGGATACATTTGAAGGTGCTATTAAAAATATTCGAAATCAGTCAGAGAGACACGGAAGTACACCAGTGGAATAGATATTCCGTGCTGGAAGTGACGCGGGCGACAAGTTGGGCAACCGGTTGCCGGTACCGGCAGAAATGCGTCGGCTCGACCGGTGTGATACCACGGCCCCACAGAAAATTGGCGTGAATCCACCACAGCATCGTGTTTTGGCTGTAAGTGAGGTTACCGGAAGCCCAATACTACTCCTCCCCCAATCCCGAAATCTCCTAAACCTCAATCCCAAAAAGAGCGGCAACGCACTCGTGACTCTTTAAGTGTTGCGAATGTCCATGGGCGGCGCCGATTGCTTACCATTGGGTAATCCGTCTGGTCGTTTGCCGTCCAATCATACATAAAAAAAGTAAGGTATGCTTAAAAAAAGGGACTCACCTGTCCATACCGAGACGAGGCTAAATGCACGTTCCTGTTCTTGAGTGAGAAGTCAGGCCTCTTCCCCAGCCCATAGTTGCTTTTGTTCTGTGATATGAATTTCTTTGGTCTGTCCAGTCTTTCCGTGGAGCCCGTCTCATTTTCATCTTCGGTCGGTCTTTTCGAAGTAGACGGTATGCCTCTGTACGCCCCCCTCGTCCCTCTGATCGTTTTCTCGGGAGACTTATCCTGCTTCCTGGTTATCAGGTTATCTTTCCGTTGTTTATTGCTTCTCAAGGTCACATTCGAAGCCATATTGTCCATAATGGTCCATCAAATGCTTAAACTGACCTTATCAAACTCTTACTATAATAGTTATCATACTTCTTGTGATTAATTAAATAATGAATTGATTAAATAAACGAATAAATAGTGATTTAAGCTTCAGAGAAAGCGTTTAACATTATTTCATTCCGTTATTTGCGTTAATGAGAGTATATGGTAATAATATGAAAAACTAATAACGGTTACAATGGATTACACTAATTAATTAATATTAAATAAATAGCTAGTTCCGTCTTTTATTTCTCTCTCGCTTGGTTGGCATCTTTCGCTAGTGACCGTTCCGAACTGTCTTTTATTACTAAGTGAAAAATAATTATATGTCTAATAAAAAATTAACAGTCTTGAGGAAGATTTTGGAAAGTTTTCTTGCAGGATTTTTAGATGTTATCTGAAACAAAAGCAAAACACGTTTAATAACTAATAAAAAAAATCTAGAATAAGGATAAACATTAAAAACATATCTCTAGACAAAACAAGCAATATTTTGTCGGGCCCTAAAACCATTGATCAAGTCTACGACTAACAATTTTCCGTCAGACCTATAAAAACGTCATACACACGACAAACTTATCTATACCGGTGGACAAAATTGGAACTAATAAAACCAAAACAAAATAACAACACAAAACTATCTTAATGAAGAAACTAGCGAACATTGCCAACTGAAAAGACATTTAATTATAATTTACTACTCTATTACGTGGTGTTATGATCGATATTCGTAGTTTAACAACTTACACGTGTATTACTATCTCAAACATGCATACAAATGGATGACATCACACAGCCATTATCAATTGTTCACACATGTTATCAGTAGAATCAGTGCTGTATCAGATAATCAACAAAACATTGTGTAAGAACTGTTTATTTACTAGTATAGTAATGGCGGGTTAATTTCTCTACACTCAACAATTTCAAAAATTCCTACTCTCAATATGTTTATTCGCAGTTAACTCTAAAACAGCTGCACAAAATTTAGTGTAATTTTCTTAAAGGAAAGAAATATTTTAATCAATTTTGAAATTTGTCTTAGGCACTACATATTATCTGAAAGTTTACAAGTGGCTGACAAGGTCCTCATAAACTAGCATAGAAACAGATTAGTCATCCACAAAACATCAGATAGCTATGGAGTTTATTAACTTGAGACATTTTATCTCCACAAGACAAATCACAGAACGAGATTATACGATTACCATTGAAATACATAAATTTTGCAATTCAAACCTTGCAATGTATCAATGGGACCTTTCCTGACATATATATTAACTTTCTAAAATTATTTAGACACAGCTGAAGACTGATATCTTAAGACTTATAATATCTAATTAGTTTTAATAGAATTGAATAAATAGATTCGGATAGTTATTTAAGCATTAATTAGTACATCTTTGCTGAGCATAGAAATTACAAGTACTTATTTCAGAAAAATCATTCATACTTTACTGTTTATCTCCATGTAAAGTATTTAGGAAAGCAAGACAAGCTACCAGAATGATCATGAAAAACTATCAATTTACTCGGAACCCTGATTAGTTTTCTATTACCTGATTTTGTCTTATCTCTGGAATGTGTTATTACTGCTTACAAATCTAGCCTAATTAATTAATGGATAATGAATATCTAGATTACAGCACAATATCTAGCATACATACATTGTTCATTGAGAGTTTCATAATGTCAAAACTTGAGAACACCCCACTCCAAATAGAGAAACAATTATAGTTTTTGATTTGATATTAACAGAAGCCTTTCCTCTACCAGCATGACTAATATTTTAAAATGATCACACCAATGCAACCACCACATAGCTCTTATGTACTAACTACTACTTCCTATTACCTTTCTAAATATTGTAGTATAGGTACTTCCACCATCGCCTATCCTATTGTCATTTGAGACCACCCAAAATATAGTCTATTTAAATGAATAAATATTGAGTATATTAAAAAAATTGAGTACCACCATTTTTGAAGTTTTGTTATAAACCGGAATTGCCTATTTTCATCCCATATTAATTTAAGGCTTTATTGTTAGATAAAATTCAGAATCTATCATACCAGAACCCAATTTAGATTTTGTCACAAAATACTATCGTCAAATACCTGGCTCCTCCGGAGCTTACCCATGCACCTTCCCTACATAAAAGAGGTCTACTACTACGGAACAAAAACGAACAATGATACCTCAGTCAGTCTCTGCTTGTAAGATGATATTAACACATTATCTTAAGTTACAAATGAACTATAAATAAGTTGATAATGAGACTATGAGAGCCATCTAGTTAAGGTACTTGTAAACTATAAATATGTAATTTGTACAATTTTTTTTAGTAAATAGATAGTAGTAAAACATTTTATTATAACTTTTTTATAAAGAAAAAACCTAATCAAACCTCGGTTTCTTAAATGTTAAACTTTTCCGGATTTGCCTGAGTAAAATGAAGGTTGGGTGATTAAGGACATTGTCACAATAATAAATAAGAATAAATAATATTTTAAAACTTAGTAGAACTGTACATATTTAATACAACCCTAATTTAGAGTAATACTAATCAAGCGAAATATGGTATGAAGAACCACAAAGTCAGAAACCAATTGAAAGACATATATTAACAAATATAAATAACTAATCATTATATATACATTTAACAAACAATTCATATCATATTAATTAACCCATAGAACTTTGACATACAAATCGAAACACCAGAACAACAGCGGTAATTTTGTTATCTTGGAATGACTGGTCAAATGCCTTACTAGCAGGTCAGACACAATAAGCAAAGTATGATCTCTAGAACAATGATTTTACAATCACAGACTAGAAGGAAACCACATACAACCATTGGTATCAGTGTCAATCAAACATATCAGTAACATATGATATATACAAACATTTATTGGAATGTACCTATTCTTATTTGATTCAGTTAACTGACCAACTACCAAGACTTTCACTCAATGACAATATTAATATACAAAGATGACACTGATTATGTTATTTACAAAACGGAACACGAACACGCTGCATTGTTTACTGCGCATAGATTGCACGATCAAATTATTGTACGGCGATGTGAGAAGTTCTCACCGAGATCACTGGTCGCCGGCGACAACCAGTGGGTGTTCAGTGTTACCTCCCGGCTCAAACCCACCTTTAGACTTCATGACGCACTAGATTACAAAAAAACTATGCAAACGACACTGGAATAATGAAAACTTGGTACCGGCATGAAAAACTAAACACGATATAACACGAATAAGACACTGCGACTCCACATTCCACGCACGATTATACATGCATTCCACACCTGTGTCGCAAGGAGTTTTATTACCAGTAGTACTAAAATCCGCAGACAGCGGCCGTTCTAATGCAGTAAATGGCGCATAGCTGAATCAAGCTGAATAAATAGAATAAAAAACTGAAATGACAGCACGTCAAGCTCACAAAACTAATTTCTACATGATTTTAAGCGTTTTATACCTCGGTATCGGCATCTTCGGACGGGTGCGCGTTTTAAACGACACTGAAACGTTACTTTAGCTAAATTGATATCGGATTCTATAAATACTTACAAATAAAAATCTGGAATCACACCATTGTTTTTTCTTCTGCACAATCAGTAATCGATGTTGCTATACTAGAAAAAAAAACTTACCGTGAAAAGTGGGTCATCATCGATCACTTGCATTTCTTCTTTCACTTTCACTTCAAGAAGCTCAACATTTTCCTGCATTAAATTTTGGTATTTTAGCGACATAATATTAGTATTGACATTGTAATATGGTTCTATAACATTTGGAATTGATCCTAATTCCCATGCAAGAGCAACATAACTTTTAAGTTATATTTATAGCGAATTTACGTTTTTCCCTTAATACCTAACCCATTTGATGAGCTTAATCTAATTAAAGCTCTATAATATTATATACATAAAACATATAGTTTAATTTAATTAACATCAAATGTGCAAAATTTTCGCTGTGGTTCTGGGAAATATCGGATGAAATCGGATCACGTCTTTTTACTGAATATGGTGGAAATTCTTTTTTTTTCTGGTCACACTACCAGGGTAGGAAATTCAATGATTCGTTTCATGCAGCAGTAATCTGATTAATCTTCACATTTTGTTTTTAAATAAATAATATTGAACAATTAAATCAATTTGTGCTCAAAATTTTGTTATATTTCGATATTTTATTTAATGAAGTTAATTAAATGCTCACAAAAATCTAATAAAATAATTGAAAAAGAACTTAATAAAACAAACGTGTAAAGAAATGCCGCAATCAAATTCGTTCGGAAAATGCAACATCAATTTAATATTTTCTTGTGTAGGATAATGTTCATAATAGATATCCATTCACTGTTTTAATATCAGTTTTTTTATTACTGCTATTTAAAGTACTAAACTCAATTAAATTCATCTTAATCCGTGTAGAATTATCTTATTTAAAATTAATCCGCTAAGTTGTCAATCATTCTAATTGGAATAGAAAAAAGAAAGATCTACAGTTTCCGAACTTAAAATTGTGATGTCGATTGTGTACATGGCATAAATTCAATTTCTATAATTTTTTACGTGAATTACGATGTGAATAAGTGAATTAGCAACAATAAATTAAATAATGGCGTTCGTAAGCGCTGTGACCGGTGATGACTCCACGAAGAAATTCATGGATGTCCTACAGAATGATTTCAAGAATCTGAGTTTGGAGACTAAGAAGAAATATCCTCAGATAAGAGAGGTTTTTATCATTTTACTGTTTTTTATAATCTAATATTTTAATTCAGGCTTAACTAAACTTGAATTGTTACCATTTGTGTGCCTGAAGTGAATAAATGATTGTGTAAATTGATCAGAAAAATACATTGTCTAACACATAATGTTTCATTAAATTAAAGTAATAATAAATTATTTAATATCTTTAAAAAGGAGGTGTTGGTAGGTAAAACCGGTGACTGTTGCCATTATCTATATTTTTTCTATTGACACAGATATTATGGTTTGTTGATAACAATCCAGTTCTGAACACAAGTATTGTGTACCGGTTAAGGGTGGAGTATAGTTTGTTTAGCAAAACAATAACAGATATATAATGCACTACCATAACAACCATTGATAACTTACTCAACCAGCAATGTTTTCTTGATATTGTAAATTCCAAAGTGTCTTTCTTTCACATCTCAATGGAATAATTTGAGTCTGAAGTATGGTATAAGAGTCTTGAGAATTTATACATAATTAAAAGCAATTTTATTGATCTGACTGTGCAAGTAAAAAAAAAAGATCTCAGATCTGAATGTTCAAGCATAACATTGCTGTAGTTCTTTTCAACATTTCTCTGTTACAATTCCACTGAGGACTGATGCTAAATTGCTATACCCTGATAGGAGACATAGTCTATTTCGGTCTGCAAACTTAAACTAAAGGAACATAGCTAAGCTCAACCTCAAAATGCATGTATGTAATGTAAACAGAAATCCTTGATTTAAAAAAAATGTTGCCCCACACTAGGATTTTCTCGTTTGTAATAGGTGCATTTACAAACATACAATTTACATACTTACACAAGCCATGCACACACAAAAACGATGATGTCAAGAACCCCTCAACATGTTGCACAACAGACATTACCCAGCCACTGCGCCAACAATGTAGTTGGTTGGTTAATTTGCTGTAAACAGATTCATTCAATATAAGTATTCTTGATTGGCTGTAAACTGCATACATGTAGCTGCTAATATGTGAGGCTTTAGCTGTATAGAAATAACAGTTAGAATAAATAAATGTATTAAAAAAATTAATGTTGTTTTATTGTTTCAGGCATGTGATGAAGCAATTGAGAAACTGTCATTGGCCTCCAATAACCCACAGGCATCCTTATACGGAGTAGTGAATCAGATACTATACCCCCTTGTACAAGGCTGTGAATCTAAGGATCTGAAGATTATAAAGGCAAGCCCCTACTGCTAGAATTTCTATAAATATATCCTATACTATCCTACTAATATTATAAATGTGAAAGTTTGTAGGAATTATTGGTATGTTCACTATTCTTTCACACAAAAACTGCTGGACCCATTTCATTGTAATCTATTATGTAGTAGGTGATTACTTGGATGAACACATAGGCTAGCTAGCTTACTAAATATAAATAAAAAATAATCATAATTTGCCTTGGTCATGGAGTCACAAGTCAATGGGTAGATCAGTTGTAAAATTATTTTGTAATATTGAGTAATCTATGATCAAATCTATTGAGTAGTTTTAAAGAATTAAGCATACATTGGGATATTGGGGCAGAAAAAGCGATTTTGTTTTATACTATGTGTAGTAGTAACCTTTTGATGTTGTTTACTACTGAACCAAATTACTAACACGTAGGTTGTTGCGTTGCGTTGTTGCGATCTGTATTTAAGATATTTTCCAAATACATAAAATGTAAGATATTTAGTTTGGAGTATAAAGTACAGATAAAAAAGTAAGTAATTACATTTAGTTAAGTGGTCGATTTCCGCAAACATTAACTCAACAGCTAATTGATGATTATCGTTTTCAACACTATTTATCCTTAATCTAACTAAAGAAATCCAATATACCAGGTAGTTAGCCGGGGACGGACCAACGGCTGCTGCTAGTGCTACTACTTTTTTTTTTGTGCGGGGAACATCATCAAATGACTTCTCCCGCCCACGACCGGGCGGGAGGGGGGAGTGTCAGACTCTTACTGACTAAAAATCCCCCCGTTCGTTCTCCTGCTGTGGGCCGAGGTCGCGGTGTCTCATTGCGCTTACCCCGCAACCCCGGCTGAACGCTAGTGCTGCTAATGCCCTTTCGGTTTCGATTCCTGTAGGGAACGACCCTGTTTGACATTTTTTAGTTCGCATTTGGTTTGTATTATTGGTAAAAACATTTGGGAAATGTGACAGGTGGATTATTTATTATCACTATATAATTTAAAACAAAGTCTCTTTCTTTTTCCCTATATCCCTATGGATGCTTGAATATTTAAAATTACGCAATGGATTTTGATGCGTTTTTTTTAATAGATAATAACATCAATTAAGTATTAGCATTGCACCTGGTGCAAAGCCGGGGCGGATCGCTAGTAAAGGTAAATAAATATTTCTTTTTTCCAGTTCTGCTTAGGAACTATTCAGCGTTTGATAGCCCAGCAAGGCATAGACGCGAAAGGAGCGAGACATGTGGTCGATTGCCTCTACAACTTGGGGCAAGGCGCAGTTCTTGAACTGAAGCTGCTGCAGACTGCCGCTTTGTTGATGACCACATCTGACCTGGTGCATGGAGACACTTTGGCAAGGGTGAGTGAATCACCTGACATAACGTTCTTCGGAAAGGGCCAACATTCATGTACGTCACCAAATCACGTCAAAATCATACCAACTCACCCATATAGAAGGTACTTTTGAAACGTCGAAGTATAATAATAATATTCCGTCATTCTGTTCGTCATTTATGCTAGATAAGTATAAATGAATAAAAATACTCAAGATAATTAAAAAAAAAAACGTCATACGTTACGAACACGTTCGAAATTCAACTATCGTTTTTGACATTTGAATAAAAGTAGGAAAGACTAGTTCTCAATTACCTCATAAGGATATCTGGTAATTATTGAAAAAATAGCCTTAGCCTTTATATCACAGACTAGCTACTCTCGCGCGGTTTCACCTGCTGCTCTGTTCCATCTGATCGTAGCGTGATGTTTTATAGCCTATCCTATAGCACTCAAGAACATCGGCTCGACCGGAGTAATACCACGGCCTCACAGAAAACCGACGTGAAACAACCACAGCGTTGTGTTTCGCCGTGTGAGTGAGGTTACCGGTGGCCCAATCCTTCCCCTCCCTCAATCCTTCCTCAATCCCTAATCCCTAAAAGGTCGGCAACGCACTCGTAACTCCTCCCTTGCGGGTGTCCATGGGCGGCGCTGATTGCTTACCATCAGGTAATCCGTCTGCTCGATTGCCGACCCACTACATAAAAAAAAAAAACATTGTAGCTAACTATTATATAAGGAATCGGACCAGCGGTTCCAAACATTACCCCCCACATACAAACTTACGAATTTTACCTCTTTATAATACTCAGAATACACAGTATTCTGAGTTATAATATTAGTAAAGACAAACAGAAAACCTACAACAAATAATATAATCGAAAGACTTCTCTAGAGTCTTTTCAGACTCCCTCGGACTCCGACTCAGACTCTTACTGACTAAAACCACTCTGTTTCTTCTCTCGCTAAAGGCCAAGGATGTGGTACCTACCTTTTTGCACTTGCCCCGCAGCCCCGGTATAAATATAGGTACATTTTGTGTATGTCATCAAAAAATATAAATGCGAAATACCCGGTATTAATTATTCAAAGTTATTGCTCACCTCCAATATAACGTCATAAAGCTAGCACCTAGTAGGTAAACGATAATTGGAATCCGTTAATTTAGGGAAGTGTTTACAATTCATTCTCTTTAATCAATTATGTTGGTTTCGTGTTCTTTTATTATCCGACTAATATCAAATAGCACCAACGACCTTCACTGCCAGTCAGACTGCCGGGCGATTATACCTATTTGAAAGTTTAAAAGTACCTGATAGGTTAATTTTTCTATTAAAGTTCGTTTCAAAAATTATGCGTTTCTAGAAAAAAGAATCACGTATCGCTCAGCAGCCCTGTAACCCACGGTCTCCCTTTTCTTGTCTACTTATGCAATTAAAAACGATACTTTTCTATACAATTTATACGAAAAACTGAGTTATGACGTCATAACATTTTTGCGTCAAATAGCGTAGGTACTTATTTCATAATACTAAGCTAAAAAAATCTAAAACTTAGTGTATCGATCAATCGATGAATATAAGTATAGTTATTTTTCAATATTTTCTTGTATTGATACGTGGAATTAATTTGTCGTGAAAATCGTGGTGGCCCATAGGTTAAAGCGCCCGCTGACAAGTACCAATGTCACTATTTCAGAAATATATGTACTTTCTATGATACTGTAAAGGCACCATCGTGTGGAAACCTGGGCTTATAATTTCTAATTATAAGTTTGAAATCGCTAATCCGCCTTGAGCAAGCGTGGTGATTAATGCTCAAATCTCAGTGTGAGAAGAGACCTTTGCTCAGCAGTGGGCACTCATAGGCTGACATCGATCACTAATTTCTTTATTAGTGATCGATGTAGGCTGATGATGTGTGTGGAAGATTCATGCGTCAGCCCGACTCGACCGGTGTTAAGCAACACTTACGTTGTTTTTCGCCGTGTGAGTGAAGGGCGCAATCCTACCCCCACCCCTTCTTCTATCCTCAAATCCTCTATTCGTAATCCCGAAAGACAATGCACTTGTAGTAACTCTTTTGGTAGTACGAGTGTCCATCGGCGGCGCCGATTGCTTACCATCAGGTAATCGTCAGCTCGTTTGCCGACATCTATACTAATATTATAAAAAGGTAAATTTTGTAAATTTGTATGTATGGGGTAATCTTTGGAACAACTGGTCGGATTGCCAAAATTCTTTCACTGATAGATAGCTACAATGTTCCTGAGTGCTATAGGCTATAAAACATCACGCTACGATTAAATGGAGCCGAGCATCGGGTGGATCAGCGAGAGAGTAGCTAGTATGCCATAAAAAGAAATTGCGCGACATAAGAGGTGAGGAACGTCGTTGGTTGTTAAAAACAACTTAGAGAAATATTGACAACACTAGGATTTTATTCTGTAGTGTGTGTGCGATAATTTACCTGTTCAATCAATACTATCGTACATTTACTTGCTTACACAGAAAAAAACCGGAAAACGATAACTAGATACTTACATAAGTATAACCTTTATCTAAAATCGAACATGTTTGCAAGTTTAAACGTTTTAATGATAAAGTTAGATCTTACAGATATGCATAGGTACTTAGTTGACATACTAAACTAATTTTGTAACTATAACAGACTAGTGTAACATTTGACAAGAAAAGATATACTTATGTAGTGGTTTCGTCATGAACGCTCCCCTCACCCACAGTCGTGTTATTTCGAAGATGTTTCGAAATGAAAGTGATAGGATTTTCGGGGTAACGTTTATACAATTTATATATTTTTTTATTTTTGAACAAAATGAAAATTAATTGTTTTATTATGAAAAAGAAAAGTAAAAGACTATAGTTGTAGTGGCACCCTTAACACAATTAAATCTACTACCTACTGAGTGTGGGAGAGCCATGGGTCGGCTCGACCTGAGTGATACCACCGACTCACAGAAAACCGGCGTGAACCAACAACAGCGATGCGTTTCGCCGTGTGAATGAGGTTACCGGTGGCCCAATCTTTCCCCTCTTCCAATGCCTAAATCTCCAAAACCCTAATACCCAAAAGTTCGGCAACGTACTCGTAACTCTTCCTTAGTAAAGTTGGCATAGGCGGCACTGATTGCTTACCATCAGATAATCTTTAAAATATGGTTATTTAAATGCTAAAAACAATACTTAATAAAAAAGATGAAGTTATTTTGTGGACACGCTAAATCTCTACTTGTTTTCTCTTTTACAGACTATGGTGATGTGCATGCGCATGGTATCACCATCGGAAAGCCGTGACGTCAGCACCAGCCACGCTGCAGCAGCTACCGTACGCCAGCTGGTCGCTCTGGTCTTCGAGAGAGCCCTCGCTGAAGCTGAAGGTAAAATCCTCATCACAGAACTGACAAAACAGAGATCTTCAGCAGTAATTACAGAACCAGCATCCCTAAACTAAACACATCTTCATGATAACCATAATACATAATTATATTATGTTAGACTAACAAAATCCTTCTATAATCGGTCCCTGTCTAACAGCATTTAAATTAACAGTCACTTATTTGAAAAACGTATATTAACTACTTAATAAAAATAAGTACCAATATTTCACTAGTGAGTTCCACTGCAAGTCGATAGATGTCACTATCTTTAACACGTTAGCCGCCACGTAGGTCACCAGTGACCTACGGTAGCAGATTGCCTTCAATAGTTTTCTGTCGGCAGTCAAAGGCTTAAATATTTCGATTATGTAGTATTGCTAATTTGCTATAAAATAAAATTAATATTTGATTAGAACTCTATACAAGTTGCGCAGTAGACAGTTACCCAACTACTGTGAAGAAATATTTCTTTTATGTTAGTCGGCATATAAAATGACTAACTTATTTTTAGTCGATGAATAAGTTGGCTGCAGGCTGGTTATTACATTTTGGGGTTAGCTTCGAAGAGGTAGGCTGAAGTTTTGTTATAAGAGTACCATGCATCAAAGGGTGCTATTCACGATTCCATAGTAGGCATTACTATTGGTTAAAGAATAAAACCGCGTTTTTATTTGTTTATCTATTACTGGGGAGGCTGTGGCGGGCTTGTCCTATTAGAAACTGCGGTACCAGTATTTCGCGGGGTGTTTCGGATTCGAGGCTTGGAAATTTTGGGAAGGCCCTATCCCTAATCTTCTAATCCTCAAAGACGGAATAATTGTGATAATTGCGCTTACAGTAACTTTACTTATACGGCGAGACACAGCGCTATGGTCATCTCACACCGGTTTTTTTTAAGTATCACTCCGATCGAACTGGCCCATTCATGCTAAAGCATGGCTTTCCCACTTAAATAATAGTTCGAAATGGTTTTTCAGGTGCTCTGAAAGTGAATCCTGCTGATGTGAGACCACAGACTAACAATAAGGCTCCTAAGGATCTCAAACCGTGTGCTGTCGACGCTTATCTAATATTACAGGTTAGTAAAATATAGAGATAAAGATATATTTATTTCGCTAATATGAGTAAAAATCAAGATGTCAATTTTTTTAACAAATTATTGGAGATATTATTATTATACTTGAACACACTAGCAGCTTAGAAAGCTGATGCGTGCGTATTAACGGATTTGGAGATTTTGTCGAGTCTGTTTTTAAAAGAATTAACTGTGGGTGCTTTTATCACATTTTCTGGGAATATGAATATGAAGATGAATCTTCACTACCACTGCCTCTATAAACAAATTGTAATATCTAATCATATATGACCACATATTATGATAATTTCACGGCCAAGTCTAAAATGACTAAAACTTCACTAGCGCCACCTGTTCCGACCATAAGTGACTTGTATCGTTTTGTTTCCAGGATATTATTCAACTAATCAACGGTGACTCAGCGCACTGGCTGGTCGGTATATCGGATGTGCCTAAAACTTTTGGTCTTGAACTACTCGATACAGTACTGACTGATTTCTCACCTATTTTCTTCAAGGTAAGACCAATGTTACAGTAGTGAACAAGATTGTTTTAGCTACGCTAAATGTTTGAATGGTTAATTATTCGTGTAAGGACCTGTTTGTTAAAAAATGAGTAGTGTTTAACCATAGATACTATAGATTAGCGCCATCTGTTGGAAACTGGGTGTAAGTGTATTGTCCGGATGTCAATGTGAACTCTTCTCACGAATGAAGTTGTGGATTCGAAACCTGGCAAAGTACTAATGTAATTTTTTGCGAGGTAAAGGCATACGGTGAAGGAAAACATCGCAAGAAAATTTTGGACTTAAAATTTCTAATTACAAGTTTGATTTACCAGTTGTCATGAGCAAGCATGGTGATTAATGCTCAAACCTCAATGTGCGTAAGCCTATTTTGAAATTTCGTTTGTTCACAGATACCGGAGTTTCGGTTCCTATTGAAGGAACACGTGTGCGCTCTGATCATCAGGCTATTCTCTCCTAATGTCAAATACAGGTCAGATCACTTTGAATTTTTTTTTGTTTTTCATACCACCCACCAAAAATCCCCCATCTAACCCTCAGTGGGTCGTCCGCGTACCACGTATAGAACTGGTCCGTAACTGAATGGAGACGCGCACGCGGCATGCCCCATGCTATCATATCTATACTTAATATTATAAAAGTGGTAGAGCTTGTTTGTTTGAACGCGCTAATCTCCGCATCTGCTGGTTCGAATGGAACAATTCTTTTTGTGTTCGTCCATAGAGATTATCGAGGAAGGCTATAGGCTATAAAACATCACGCTACGGTCTGTAGGAAACTGCGCGTGCTTAGTTAGTTAGATATAAAGCTGAAGAAGATGGTTTGTAATGAATATTTATAATATAGAGTATGGTATGTTTGCAGGGCTGCATTCACGGCGCTGCACATCCCGGGGGGCGCGAGCAGTGGTGGGGGCGGGGGCGCGGGCGGGGCGGCGGCCGAGCGCCCCCACTTCCCCGTCACCATGCGCCTGCTGCGTCTCGTCTCCATCATCGTGCACAAGTATCACGCTGTGCTTGTACGTACTATATTATATTATTATTTTATATTATCCTACTATCCTACTTTCTTTACTGTCCTACTATCCCTACTATCCCTACTATCCTACTATAATATTATGAATTTGAGTGTGTGAGAATGTATGTTTCTTACCTGTTTCACGCTAAAACGGCTGGACATATTTGGTTCAAATTTGTCATGCCTTAAGTGACACCTTGGATTAACATAAACATAAGGGCTTTTTGCTCTGCTTTTTATCAACGACTAGTATACGCTGACGACAGCTAGTTATGCATAAATCAAAAAGTATGTAAGACCAAAACTTAAAAAAAAAACTTAATTGTACTGTATTTAAATAAATGTAAATAATCCTGCTATGCCTTTTTATATAAGAATTGTATGTAACAATGTTTACAATGAGGTATTTACTTAAATCGATGTTAGCCGCTAAACTAAATTTAAATAATATTTGGATGTATTTTATGACGACCTCTTTAATATAAATTGACATACCAAGACTGTTTACCTTTTTTTCATTAGCCACCTAAACATCATAACGATGTCGATATCTTTGTTTTCAGGTGACAGAATGCGAAATATTCCTTTCCCTAACCATAAAGTTCTTGGATCCGGACAAACCTATGTGGCAGAGAGCTTTGGCGTTAGAAGTTCTTCATAAGATGACCATACAACCAAGTACGTGTGTCTCAATGGATCAAGTTTGTTTTTATTTATGACATGAGATTTGGTAAAGCAGATCGAAGTAATAGCCAAAGTAAGCTCGGGTCTGCGGTCGGCGAGCAAATGTAGCTCGCCGCTCGACCAGAACCAGAGCCGAGCGTTCCACGCCTCAAAGAGCCACCACAAACAGGATAAGTGTAATAAAGTACCGCGGCCTCTGCTTGGAACGCCCCCCCCCCCCGTTCTCTCTCTCTTTTTAGTCAGTAAGAGTCTGACTCTCCCTCTCGCCATATCCTGGGCGAAAGAAATCATTTGAATATTTTCCCTCCACAATAAAAAAGACCGGACTATTAAAGGCAATGTTTCCACAGATCTTCTGAAGGCGTTCTGTGAGTGTTACGATATGAAGCCTCACGCCACCAACATCTTCCAAGACATCGTCAACGCGCTTGGGGCCTACGTACAAAGTCTCTTTGTCGCGTCAAACGTTAATACTGCCGCTGGTAAGTACCTCACTTCTTTCTTACTAATATTATAATTTAAGTGTGGGAGAGCCATGCTTCGGCTCGACCGGAGTGCTACCACGGCGTCACAGAAAAACGGCTTGAAACAACCACAGCTTTGTGTTTCGCCGTGTGAGTGAGGTTACCGGAGGCCCGATCCTTCCCCCCTCCCAATCTCTAAATCTTCAAATCCCTAATTCCTAAAAGGTCGGCACCGTACTCGTAACTCCTCCATTGCGGGTGTCCATGGGCGGCGGTGATTGCTTGCCATCAGGTAACCGTCTGCTCGTTTGCCGACCTATTACATAAAAAAATGCGAAAATTACGATGTTTCGATGTTTGTTACTAAAATCACGCCAAAACAGCTGGACGGATCTGGATGAAATTTGGCACAGGCATATGATACACTCCTGGATAGGACATAAGCTTTTTATCAACATACCACGCTGGCGAACTCGTATCCCTGGTAATTTCCCTGGATAAAAATAACCCCCATCTGCTATTCAAATCAAATCAAATCAAATCAAATTCTTTATTTCAAATAGACCAAAAAAGGCACTTTTGAACGTCAAGCAAAAAAGATATCATAAGGTTTAACTTTATGTGTCAGTCTGTCCGTCTGTCCTCTAGTGAAGCTATTTGCTCGTTCCAAAGTGTAGATTCCTATGGAGAAGAACGAGCAAGAAACTCCATGGTTACTCTTTTTCAATCACTTTTTACAATGCATTGTTACATAATTTAGATAGTTCCATTATGTGAGAACAGTGTAACACTAGTGTTTAACCAAAGTATCCGAAAAAGAAATAACCCTCAGGGACAGCAACTTTAGACAGTCTCGAGTTGACCAGTCCCAATAGGCGGCGTCCGTTCACGAACATGACACGTACACCAGCACCGCCCAACTCAACCATATTATAGGGAACCGAGCGGCCCAGTGCCCGTGCCACCGCCAATGAGACTCCTGAGTGAGCATGACAACTCCCAACTGACACAAGTACCAATATACTATAAGTCTAACTCAATTATAATAAGTTACAGGGCTCTCACATTTACAAAAATCCAGTTTATCAACAATTAACAACATGGTAAATAATTTAATAATTGAGATCAAAATTCCTCTTAACCTTAACAATTTTTATCCTGTGCAGTCAAACCAGCCACCCTCCAAGCATTTTTATCTTCTATATAATCATTTAGTTTGTAGTATGCTTTCCTACATAATACTTTCTTTATACATAATTTAAATTTACTTTCATTAAGATTTTGTATTTCAGTTGGGATTTTATTATAACATTTAACACATAATCCCATGAACGACTTATGCACTTTTGCTAATCTAAATAAAGGCTGACTTAATCTATTTCTATGTCTAGTAGGATAGTCATGCTTGTCAGATACTTTTACAAATAGCTGTAGGTTTTTCCTAACATACATAATGTTTTCATAAATATATTGACATGGTACGGTCATAATGTTGATCTCCTTAAACTTTTCTCTGAGAGATTCGCGACGACCTAAGTTATAGATAGCTCTGACTGCACGCTTTTGTAAGATAAAGATAGACTCAACGTCGGATGCCTGTCCCCACAACAGAATTCCATACGACATGATGCTGTGAAAGTAGCTAAAGTACACTAGTCGTGCCGTGCCTACATCGGTTAGCTGACGGATCTTCCAGACAGCATAAGCTGCCGAGCTCAACCGCCCTGCTAGAGATCTAATGTGGGGCCCCCATTGCAGCTTGTCGTCTACAGTAATCCCCAAGAATGTGGTCTCCTTTACAAATTCCAGTTTCTGACCATTTAATAATATATCATCGCATACGTTACTTTTAACATTTGGCAAAATAAATCTAATGCATTTCGTCTTTTTATCATTAAGTACTAAGTTGTTTTTTGTGAACCAATTATGAACTTTCATTAAGGCATTATTCACTTCGTCATAGTTATTTGATCGTCTATTTAATTTAAAAATCAAGGATGTGTCATCAGCGAATAATACCATATGCGGTTCACTTTGGAATAAATGGGGCAGGTCATTGACATAAACCAAAAATAGGAATGGACCCAATATTGAGCCCTGCGGTACGCCCATAGATACGCTAGCACCCCGGGAGTTTACTCTGTTTACTTGTACTGTAAGGAGTCTTTCTAGAAGGTATGATTTTAATAAATTTAGGGATACCCCCCGAATGCCGTAGTGTTGCAGCTTCAGTAATAGTGTTTCGTGCTCAACACAGTCAAAAGCCTTCGAAAGATCGCAAAATATTCCGATGGCATCCTGTGCTTTTTCCCACGATTTGAAAACTTGTTTTATAAGCGATACTCCTGCGTCCGTAGTGCAACGTCCCTTAGTGAACCCGTATTGTTGGTCATGGAAAATAGAATTCGCGTTAAAATGACGCAGTATTTGAGTAAGTATCAACTTTTCAAACACTTTACTGAGCACTGGCAAAATAGAGACCGGCCTATAGTTATTGCGTTCTGTGCTATCACCTGATTTAAGTAATGGAACTACTTTGCTATGTTTCATTAAATCCGGGAAAACCCCTTGATCTACACTTTTATTAAAAATTAAAGTTAAGTAAGGCGCTATAGTCTCTATAAAAGACCTGCACACTCTAACAGACATTCCCCAGAGATCTTCACTGGACTTTACTTTGATATCTTTAAACGCCTTTATTACTGCCTGGGGGTTTGTATGTTTAAACCTAAAGTCCGCAGGACATTCTTTGACGTTACTTCTGAGAAGCTCGACCGCAAGTGCTGGAGATGATTGCAACGTTTCCGTAGTTTTAAGAGGAATATTTTTAAAGAAATTTTCGAATTCCTGGGCAACTAATGAATTTGTACTAGTAAATCCCTTTTCGGTTTTTAAATTAAATTCTGTCTTATTAGATTTGTTTCTACCTGTTTCATTATTAATTATACTCCAGGTAGCTTTTATTTTATTTTCCGCGGTCCGGATTTTACTGCTAATATAGAGTGATTTAGCATGCTTACAAACTAATTTAAATATTTTTGAATATTTGGAGACATGCCTATGAAAAGCCTCACTTTTATTAAATGGTTTCATGCCATATAGCTCAAATAACTTTTCTCTACTTATACGAATGCCTGGTGTAGCCCAGTCACAGAATAAAAATTTACACTGGATATTTTTACGTTTTAAAGGGAACATTTTGTCGAACTGTATTTTTATGATGGATAATAAGTTAGCATAGATCTCACTCGGGCATTCATTGTCTTGTAATGGGCTGCATAATTTATGTTTTAAATTGTTATTTAATGACTCAATTTTTTTGTTTGTTATCTGTCTGAATATAATTTCCTTAGTTGCCACAGTTTTAAAAGTATTAAAGTTGACTGTTAGCCCACTGTGATCAGATGGTAATCTGTTTACAATTTCATTATGTAAATAATCACAGTTACAAAAAATATTATCTATACAAGTTGCCGAGGTGGATGTTACTCGGGTAGGCTCAAGGAATATATTAGACAGATCAAAAGATTTAAAAAGACCTAATAAGTTTGTACAATAAGAGTTGTTTTCTAAGAGATCAACATTAAAATCGCCACATACTATTGTATACTTATTACTAGAACACGTTTTCTGTAATACATCTTCCATTACTGAACAAAATATATTTAAATTCTGTATGTTAGGAGGCCTATAAACACATACTACAATATGCCTATCCAGTTCAACACAGGACAACTCTATTGAGTGCTCAATTGATAGCAGTGCAATGTCTTGCCTTTCTTTATATTTTATTGAATTCTTTACTAAAATCAAGCTACCACCATGTATCATTTCTTTGCGGCTATAATAGTTGCCAACACAATAATTATTGAAGTTAATTGATTCTACTTGATAATCTTTTAACCAATGTTCAGTTATACAAAAAATGTCATATTGGAACTTTTCTAAAAACAATTCAATTTGTAGGATTTTTGATGCTAAGCCCTGAACATTTTGACTATACAATGACAACAGGTTATCTGTTTTATTTTTCAATTTAAGTTTATGCTTAACAATATTGCCAGAAGAAACCTTTTCAATGATAGGGGTTTTTGAGTTATTTAATTGGTTATCTTCTGTTGTCGTGGAAGTCAGTTTAAAAGATTACTATCCGGAGTACTATCCATATTTATAACTAAATGTGGAGCCTCCTTCGTGCTATTATATGTACAATTAATCTCTATATTGTTAGATTGTCTAATCAATATAGATTTGTCACTAAAACTACTTATTAATAAATTAATACTATTTGCTAGCAAACTAGCAATTAATAATTTACATTTCCTGGGAATATACATATAATCCCGGGTCAACTTGAAACCACTAACAAATTTGTTAGTGTCAATTCCTGATTAAATTCAATCTCTGTACCAAATTTAACCCCAATCCGTTCAATACTTCTTTGATGAAAGAGTAATAGTGTGGGAGAACCATGTTTAGACACAATAGGTCGGCTTAATCGGAGTGATACCCCGGCTTCACAGAAAACCGACATCAAACAACCACGGCGTTGTATTTCGCACTGTGAGTGAGGTTACAGGTCAAATCCTTCCCCTCTTCCCCATCCCTTCCCAATCCTTAAATATCTGAAACTCGTCTTCCAAAGGCCGGGTACGCACTCGTGACTCCTTTGGTGTTGCGTGTGTCCATGGGCGGCGCTGATTGCTTACCATCAGGTTAGACCGTTTGACGACGCATTTCATATAAAAAAAAATCTACCAATATTTTTACGGCTTACAGTCAATAAATCACCAGTAATAACAAATATTTTAATATAATTTTATTTATCACCAATGTTGCAAATCAAATCCCGACCTTATTTCCCCGGCAATATAGTCCACATCCGGTGGCATGATCTCCTCATTGACGTTTATGTCTTTATACACTACATATCTAGGGTCCTGCTGAGCTGTATGGTAGTCACCTTCCTCCACGTCCTCATAATTCTCAGTTTTATCATTAAACGATCCTACTTGTGTTTCGAAGTATTCTGGAACAAAATAAATGCTGTATAAGGTGACTGTAATTAGTGATCGATATTTGAGTATTAGTGACTATATTGCGGGGAGTTTATTCAGTAAGAGACTCCCTCCCGCCCCACCCTATACGGGAGAAGTCACTTGATAATTTTCCTCCAACAAAAAAAAAAAATAAAAAAAAATACCTGTCCCCTATATACCCTATATAATGAGATGGTATATTTTTGATCAGAATTCTCAACAATACTGCTTTGTTGATGAAGTGCCCGCAAGGATTCAGTTCCCGGGTCGGGCGAAATATGGTTAGTTATTTATTTCAGACTTTCCGAATAAAATTTTTGAAAAAAACAAATAGGATTTTTATAAAGAGCGTGTCACTCATAGCAATTTGTAGAGGGCAGAGAGCAGTTGCTTCATATAAAAACCCTGACACCATGGCCTCATAGGATACTCGTATGAAACACGCTTGCGTTATCTTTTGCCGTGTAAGTGTAGTTATTGGAGGCACAATCTTCCTTCCCTAAACCCTAACAACTTCTTTGGCGTACCGGGTTTCGACATACCCCATAAGAAAAGAATAATAAGAATAGAAAACTCACTAGCCAAGCCTTCTCTCAGGTTCCTATCATCAGCATCAGGATTGTCATTTTTCTGATCCTCTTCATCGCTATTCTCTGCTTCATCATTAGGTCTAGTGGCATTCTTGACATTTTCCAATTGGACCAAGTCCAAGTACTTTTCGATTAGGATCCGACAATGTTTCATACAGATCTGATAGCTTCGGAATCGATTTGACCGAAAATTGCCTGGACAACCGAGTCGTTCACTGAAAATATTTGTCGTGTATGTCATATTTACCCTTAAATTATGTTTTTCTGTATATTTGTTTCTGTTTGTTGCTAAGTTAAGCCAAAATAAATGTATCATCATCATCATCATCATCATCATCCTATAAGTGCCCACTGCTGAGCAAAGGCCTGTTCTCACACTGAGAAGGTTGGCGATTTCAAACTTATAATTAGAAATTATAAGTCCAGGTTTCCTCACGATGTTTAACTTCACCGTATGTCAGTGGTGTCTTAATAATCATAGAATATACATATAACTCGGAAAAAGTCACATTGGTACTTCGAACCCACACCCTCATGCATGAGAAGCGGGCTCCTTAATCTTAAAATAAATGTATGGTCTCTTATAATTTGGGCAGTTATCGAGGTTTACGAGCGACAATCAAGTGGGAGACGGACGGACAGTGAATTCAGCAATAGGGTTTTTAACATTTGACGATGACTCCCTTGAAATTCAAGCAAAAGAAAGAACAGTCAAAAAGGCCTTTTTTATGGGATAGGTCGCCAAACGAACAGACGGATTACTTGATGGTAAGCAATCGGCGTTGTCGGCCTTTTGAGGATAAGGGAGTCGGATATTTAAGGATTAGAAGGGATGGATTGGGCTTCCTGTAACTTAACTCACACGGCGAAACACAACGCTTTGTTCACGGTGGTCTACGAGGCCGTGGAATCACTCCGCTCGAGTCAACCCATTCGTGCCGAAGCCTTCAAGGATTCACAGACGCATCAATGGATAATAAAATGTCATGGTAGCTTGAAGGCCAAGGTGCTGGCTTATCTAGCATGACAGTGCGAATACCAATCTAACTTCTGCCAAGTTAAAATAATTAAAATTCCACTGATATGCTGTGAACATGAACATCGTCGGGAATCTTAAATTATTTAATTACAAAGTTACTTCAATTGCCCTACATCATACACAGGATTTTTGAGAAACTCTAATATGATCTAAAGTCTAGTCTATTATAATTCTACTAGTATTCGTCTATTATAATTTTAACAAACTAAAAGTTTAAAATCGTCAAGATGTGGAGCGGTAAACGCCAAGATCTCATGTTCGAGTGTGATTTTTTCATACCGTGTGACTGCACGGTTGGCGCGGTGGCTGGGCAACTGGCTACCACGCAACGTTTCGCGGGTTCGATTCCCGCACAGAACAACTTTGTGTGATCCACAGATTGTTGTTCCGGGTCTGGGTGTGATGTGCATGTGAAATTGTATGTTTGTTAACGCACCCACGACACAGGAGAAAATGCAAGTGTGGGGCAAAGTTTTTTTTTTTAAAGTAAAAAGATATAAAATTTTCGTGTACACGTGGGAAGATAACAAATTGGTAATAATGATATTTGCAATGTTTACGTGCAATTCTGTGCCATGAACACAAAGGTCCAGACTGGTGCCACTACATCCACACAGATTCCTGGGGTGAAGCGGCGTGTACAGCGCATGTTGAATAGGGTTGCCTGAGAGTATTCTGTCGGCGAAGCTGCCAAAAATAAACAGCTGATAACCCTGGGCGAAAAACTTGTTCTATGATATCCTCTACCTCCACTCCAAAAAGCCGAAAGTACAACCGACGATTCAAAATCTATGTAGGTTTATAGTAGGTTTCTTTTTTTAATCAATCATCGCCGCCCGGCGTTGCCGACCTTTTGGGGATTAGGGATATGTAGATTTTGGGATTGGTGAGGGATTGGGCCTCCGGTAACCTCACTCACACGGCGAAATACAACGCTGTGTTTGTTTCACGCTGGTTTTTTGTCAGGCCGTGTTACTGATCCGGTCGAGACGACCCATTCGTGCCGAAGCATGGCTCTCCCACACATACGTTTCGCTCATTTTTTTACATGAAGTCCATAATCTTATTAAATATCATTGAAAAATCGACACAGAGACCAAGTTAATACGGTTTAGGAATTAAGTGGGTGGGATGGGTTAGGAATTTCGGCCACTAATTGAGAACAGTCTAGGAAAAAGAACAACTCACAATTTGCATTTTCAGCTTTACAAATAAAAAGATTAAAACAAAATATAAATGTTAGGGTACAAACAATTATTTTTAACATTTCTTTTGACACCAATCACATCAGTAATATAGTACTGTAATTTGTCAATGGACATAGCTCATGAGATTATGTTTTAAACTAGTTGATCCAGCTTCGATTGATTTGATAGATTTTTCAAGGTCTTATTTTATAATAACATAAATATAATAAAACTGATTAGAATTGATTTTGACTGCACGGTTAGTGGGGTGGCTGGGCAACTGGTTGACGCGCAACGTGTCGCGGGTTCGATTCCCGCATCGAATAACTTTTTGTGTGATCCACAAAGTGTTGTTCCGGGTCTGAGAGTCAGGTATGTTAAATTGTATGTTTGTAAACGGACCGGAGTAGGGTTTTTGTTTTGAAATGTACGGTCGCTTATTTGGTCCAAAAAATCCGATGACGACAATAAAATTTAGTACCATAAAAACAGACATTATTGCGGATAATATTCTCTTTGGTTGATATAGGACACAGTACGGCCACCAAACCACTCTAACGAATATGCTGACAACAAATATTGATTAATTCATCAAACCCCAAGCGAACGCCGACGTGCGCGTTTTTCTATTGTGTCTTATAATTATCACGATTAAAGGTTAATAGAATTACGCTTTGGTTGTAATATGTTTTACAAATAAAAATATTCTATTCTATGTTGTTTCCAGGGTCTGCCGGTATACCTCAGCAGTCAGGTTTCTACTGGAAAGGAGTCTGGTTACCGCTCTGTGTTACCTTCGAACCCGGAACTGCCAAATCTGTTTAGTAAGTGTTTTTAATTCTAAGCTATCAAATAATGAATCTTACGAACTAAAACGTTAAGTCCCTTTTTCTATGCAGGTCATCATTATCATTTTCGTTCCATGCAGGTTTTTTATTTTCACCAGATTTTGTGTCGTGTTCGATTCCCAGGTTAGGCTAAACGACATCTTATTTAAATACTTATAAATAAAATAAGCGCTGCTGCTTCACTGCTGGTTGTCACTGTAGCTGGGCAACCGGCTGCTATGCAATGCGTTGCGGGCTCGGTTCCCGCTAAGAACAACTTTTTTTGTGTTCTATAAATTGTAGTTTTAGGTCACATACGTATTGCGGACGGCGAGTAAGTGTAGCTCGTAGCCCGAGCCTACGGCATGCGTTTAGTTTCGCGCGCGCCTCAAGAAGCCAATAGACCGTGTCCGTTACCCAGGCCAGATGTTGTCGACAATGGTCATTTGAATCTTATAGATAATTAGTTGTGCGGCTTCTGTAATTGTTGCGCACATTTTTAAATTTGTTGCGCTTATAGTTTTTTAATTATTTCACAAAAACATTTCCTGCTGGCGTAACGTTACCACAGCCAGACCTTTTTATTTCTAATGGGAATATTTAAATAAATATTAGCTATAAAATTAGTTGTCTAGATAAAGTAAATGTTGTGCCTTATTTTGTATTTGTTCTTTCTTCGGTTGCGAAGTTATTCGAGATTTTGCTGCGGTAACGTTTTTGGTTTTGCTAGATCTTTGAAATGGTTAAGCGGATTCTTATCATATTTTATACACGACTTCCGAGGACTTAGTTTAAATTTGTTGTGCAATAACAAAACCAAAATAATGCATATTTTAAAGGTTTTTTCATTAAATAGAAAAACACTTCAATTGGCCCCAGCACTCTCAATAAGAAGTCTAAAGACTTACTTTAAACGTAATATTAAAGCTTGTAATTGCCTTCAAATGTATGTCAAGTTTCATTAGTATCCCGTAAGTATTTAACAAGTTATGATGATATTCAGTTCTTCACGAGCACGGTCTTAATGCACTCGGTGTTATTTGGCCACTGGATTGGATATATGAACTGAATGTTATGTCAATAATTAGTTGTTTAGATCAGTTGTATATCAGTAAAATTTCAGCTCAATACATTGGATAATTAATGAGATAATACTATGAAAGTCATTAGGAAGTGAATGACCGTGGTAAGCCGACCAAGTTTAGGTGGTTACGAAAAAGCGAAAACGCAGAACATTGTACTATCTTTTGAAATCTTTAGTATAATACACCTTACAATTTTGGTACAGACGCGTACACTGTTTAATACCTATATAATAATAATATAAAAGAAAACATTATCTTCCACTTCCACAAAATTATCAAAAATCACCGCTAGAGCATGCCGTTCGGTAGGACGCAGGAGGAGTGGGGTGAAGGGGTAATACATTGTTTGCATAACGCACTCAGTCTTGCCAGAAGGTTACTTTTGTAACCTTTTAGATGATTTTTGAACTGCATTTTGAAATAGAAATGACAAGGACGGGTAATGTTTAATCGGTTGCTAAGCAACACAAGTTTTTATAAGTAAGGGAGTAAAAGTTCAATTGAAATGATTATTTTACCTTTCAATAAAAAATCTTGAATAATCATGTAGTTTTTTTTTAAACTTTTGTACATGTCTGTACTAAATTTATAACACTATCCTACATATTTTAGAAGGTACCATAATGTTCTGCGTTTTCGCTTTTTCGTAACCACCTAAACTTGGTCGGCTTACCACGGTCATTCACTTCCTAATGACTTTCATAGTATTATCTCATTAATTATCCAATGTATTGAGCTGAAATTTTACTGATATACAACTGATCTAAACAACTAATTATTGACATAACATTCAGTTCATATATCCAATCCAGTGGCCAAATAACACCGCGTGCATTAAGACCGTGCTCGTGAAGAACTGAATATCATCATAACTTGCTATATACTTACGGGATACTAATGAAACTTCACATACATTTGAAGGCAGTTACAAGCTTTAATATTACGTTTAAAGTAAGTCTTTAGACTTCTTATTGAGAGTGCTGGGGCCAATTGAAGTGTTTTTCTATTTAATGAAAAAACCTTTAAAATATGCATTATTTTGGTTTTGTTATTGCACAACAAATTTAAACTAAGTCCTCGGAAGTCGTGTACAAAATATGATAAGAATCCGCTTAACCATTTCAAAGATCTAGCAAAACCAAAAACGTTACCGCAGCAAAATCTCGAATAACTTCGCAACCGAAAAAAGAACAAATACAAAATAAGGCACAACATTTACTTTATCTACACAACTAATTTTATAGCTAATGTTTATTTAAATATTCCCATTAGAAAGAAAAAGGTCTGGCTGTGGTAACGTTACGCCAGCAGGAAATGTTTTTGTGAAATAATTAAAAAACTATAAGCGCAACAAATTTAAAAATGTGCGCAACAATTACAGAAGCCGCACAACTAATTATCTATAAGATTCAAATGACGATTGTCGACAACATCTGGCCTGGGTAACGGACACCAATAGACCAGCACAGACGGGTCCTATAGGGCTGATGTTTAGCCGGGGTTGCAAGGCAAGCGCAATCAGGCACCGCTACCTCGGCGCAGGAGAAGGAACGGGGGCGTCTTAGTAAGAGTCGGACTCACTCTGGGCGGAAGAAATAATTTGATGAAGTGTGGAAGAACCAAGCTCCGGCACGAATGGGTAGGTTCGACCGGAGTGATACCACGGCCTTTCAGAAAACCGGCGTGAAACAACCACAGCGTTGTGTTTCACCTTGTGAGTGAGGTTACCGGAGGCCCAATCCTTGCTCTCCCCCGATCCCTAAATCTCCAAAATCCTAATCCCTAAAAGGTCGGCAACGCACTGGTAAGTCCTCCGTTGCGGGTGTCCATGGGCGACGCTGATTGCTTACCGTCAGGTAATCCGTCTGCTCGTTTGCCGACATCATGATATAAAAAAATTGATCTTCCCCTGACAAAAAACGAAAAAAAGGTCACATGCTAGTATTTGTCATGCTCAGACTGACGTATTTTTTAAAGACAAATAAATAAGTATTATTATTATATTTCAGTATTGAAATGTTGGACCGCAGTGAAGCTCCTGCGATACAGGATGGGTACGGCATTTCGGTGGCGTACGCTTGCCTCATGGAGATCATCCGGTCAATAGCTATTAGTGTCGAAGGCAACGAGTATTTCCGGTGAGACTTTTGCTATTTTTTTTTTGTTTCTTAATTTTAATATGAGTCCCCTAAGCTGTCTATTGCCAACCATGTAGTCTCCTGGTGAGATAAAAGAGTTTTCAATATAGCAAATAGAATAGAAAGTTATTTCAAAAGTAAATTCAATGCAATATTAGAATGTTTACACGTTTATCCTACTAATATAATAAATGTGAAAGTTTGTGACAACGTATTGGATGTATGTTTGCTATTCTTTTTATCAACATAACACGGGCGAAGCGGCGGGTGGTAGCTAATTCTTTATATATTAATAGTACCTATATGTATAATAGTAAATATTTTGTTTTGCTCTGATATTACATTTCTTAAAGTAAAATATAACTTTGTAATTTTACAGACTACAAGAGTTGTATGAAGATATTCAAAATGACACAGAGGAGAGGGAGGTTAATTCTAATAAGAATGTTAATAGCAAAGGTAAGTTCTCACAAATTGCTTAAAATGACCTTGAATACCAGCTTTTAATTGTGGCATAAACGCGGGTGTGCGGACTGTGGCGAGTAAGTAAGCTAACCGCCCGGGCAGAACCAGACCCGAGCGTACGGCGCCGTGCGTGCCACAAATAGCTAATATACCATATACCACCACCGAGGGAATCCACTAGGTCTGCATCTGATGCTAATGCAACCGCTATTATATCAGCCGGGGTTGCGGGGTAAGCGCAATGAGGCACAGTGACCTCAGCCCAGAGCAGGAGAAGGAACGGGGGGGGGGGGGTTTAGTCAGTAAGAGTCTGACACTCCCATTTGATGATTTTTCCCCTCACAAAAAAAAACCGCTATTATGTACCGTGGTCCTAGCTCGGAGGGGAGTAAGCAACGGAGTGGTTTTAGTCAGTAAGAGCCTGAGATTCCCTCTCGCCACTCTTTTTGTGTTTCAGAGTGTGTGTTAATCGGGTCAATGTGAGCTGGGGTTCCGCTTCCTCGGCCTAAAGCAGGAGAAGGGAAAAAATCGTTTAGTGTTTGATAATCCAATCACCGAGAAAAGCTATCTCAACTATAATATTATAAATGCGAAAGTAACTCTGTCTGTCTGTCTATCTGTCTGTTTGTCTGTCTTATCTTTACGCCTAATCTACTGAAACGATTTCTGTGAAATTTGGTAGAGACATAGTTTGAAACTCAAGAAAAGACATCGGATAGATTTATACCAAAAATCTGCAGGAAGTCAGTATTCCACGCGTACAGAGTCGCGGGCAAAAGCAGGTAGGCTATAAAACATCAAGCTATAACCACTAAAGGTCAACCAACGGGTGAAACTACTAGTAAAAGCTACCTAGTTAATACTGAGTATAACTTTTACGTCACTAAATGTGTATCATGTCCTTTATTTGTTTGTTTCCTTTGGTTGTCCCATAGATACGGAGGACAAAACGGATAAAATGATAACGAATAACTCCCATAATGGAGAAGCTGATCAGAACTCTAATGTGGTGCAGAAGATAGATGATGTGGAGGAGAAAGAGAAGCAACTTCGGCTGCAGGTCAGTGCCTGAATATTTATTTATTTACACTTTTGCACAAAATGCTTAAAACAAGGACGACGACTGGGAATGAATGTAAAAGATTTTGTATTTAAAAAACCCATTTTTTCTTCGTATATAACGCGTAATAGCGGAGTAATAATGTCATATTACGTCATTGATTTATTTATTTACAAGTAATACACATTTTCCAAGGAAGATCTTACAGCCTATAAGTTAAAACAATATCATTATTATCAGTGTATTATTCCATATTTCATAAATTTGACCCGAATTCTATTCCGCCACTATTTAACTCTTGGGGATTCCCAGAAACAATTTGTCTGACTTATGAATCCAATCCGTAACCCCGTCCTGCACTTGACTAACGAGGTCTTCTTCTTAATTCTTTGTGATAAATAAATGAAAATTCCGTTTGTTTCCACAGCTACTTAAATCGTCATGGTGCGGCCTGGTTTGGGGCCTGTCAGTGTTAGCCGAAGCCAGTATAGGCGAGCTCGAGAACATACTCCGAGCCATTCAGACCCTGGCTAGAGTCAGCGGGAAGGTGAGCTCTTCCACCATTCTAAATTTTAATTAAAGTTGCGAAACTTAGAATTTATTTGAACAAACTAATGTCACGTAGATCGTTCTTGTTTACCAAATAATGACTTTTTCCGCCGGCAAACGAGCAGACGAATATCCTGATGGTAAGCAATCAGCGCCGCCCATGGACACTTGCAATACCGAAGGAGTAACGTTACACACGAGTGCGTCCCCGGCCTCTCGTGGATTTGAGGATAAAGGACGGAAGTGGGGAGATTTGGCCTCCGGTAACCTCACTCACACTATGAAACGCATTGTAAGTACTGTTTCACGCCGATTTCTGTGATGCCGTGGTATCACTCCGGTCGAGCCGGCCCATTCGTGCCGAAGCATGGCTTACCCACACTTCTTATTCCAAACATGGATGAATTCAAGATAAAATAAAAATAAGTGTAAATGTGACCAATGTATTGATTGTCAACAATCATGATATAACTACTCCATGTATCTTTTGTTTCAGGTCGGTCACTCAGTAGGTCGTGACGCCTGCGTCAGTGCACTCTGTCGCTGCGCCCTCCCCGCGCAGTACGTGGTGCCAGCTCTCGGAGCCCTGGGAGCCCTGCCCTGCCCATGGAGACGGGAGCCACCACCACCTCCGGACCCTGATTACCGACACCAAGTTGTCTGGGTCGGCACACCTCTCCCCTCGGCCTCGTTGCCTACAGGTATTTTATTAAATTGATTTTTCTCTGCAATTGGCTAAGGTATCAGGCCGACTGATGAGTTCCGCCTGGTAATTCACCGTACCTTGAATGAAAATATAATGACAGCACGGTTCGCGTGGTGGCTGAGAAAATGGCTGCCACGCAACGTGTCGCATTCGATTCCCGCACGGAACAACTCTTTGTGTAATCCACTAATTAGTTGTTCCCGGTCTGGGTGTGATGTGTATGTAAAATTGTACATATGTTTAGTAAACGCACCCACCGTACAAGAAAAAAGCCTAGTGGGGGCAAAGTGTTTAAGAAATAATCATAAAAAGTACATATAACTCGGAAAAAGTCACATTGGCATTTTGCTAATTTCGAACCAGCACCTACAACAGCTACCACGACATTCCTCAACCCTTGTTGGGGTAATTAATTTTCCTGAAAAGTAAAGTTGGTTTTTATTGGTAGGTCAGCAGCAGTCTTTTGTGATGGTGACATCTCGCCACGTGACTGCTATGAAGGCCTTGCTCTGCGCCGCCCAGCGGGACGGAGACACCATCCAACAGGCCTGGCTGCCAGTCCTCACTACACTGCAGCATCTGGTAAGATTATATACGAACTCCTGTCCATCAAGGGCCTTCGTCGAAAAGATTTAAAAAAGTAAAATCAGTTGGGACCAGTAATTCTGGTCAAACAAAGTCTTCATTTATTTATTTATTCATCTTTTCAATATTCCAAAGGGTTTCTTACCTTAGTGTCAGCGCAATATATATGTTTTATATTCAATTTTAATTTTGTTTAAAACAACGTAATTTTATCTATTTCTATGTTTGGTAACATTGTCGCATTAGGAGGTGTGACTGTAAAGACTATATGAATAAATAAATCTATGTAAAATATATATGGTCATGTACCTTCAGTTGAGTCTATAATATACATATGCACTTTTACTTTAATTTTAATTAATTTTAGGGATTAAAAATCATGTCTGTTTTGCACATTGCTCAAAAACATTTATTTCCATTCTTAATATTGTGTCCAGGTTTGGATCTTGGGCCTTAAACCCTCGACTGGAGGCAGTATGAAGGCAAGTCGCGCAAGCGCAGACGCCAACGCTGTCATGAGTACTTCCGCTGTCATGGCCGACCTTCCAGGTAAATAAATAAAGAATATCTCTTTTGTTGAAATATTTTTGCTATCGATGTCAATGCACATTGTTTTAATTAGAAATTCTTATTAGTATTGAAAGTAATCATTTTATTAGTTAGTTAATTTTCTTATCTAGTTCAACGGCCGTCTTCATTATAGTCTGCAATCAAAACTAACGCTTGTTACTAACATCATAAAGTCTTGTTGAACTAATATACATAATCTAATTTAACGGCAATTGACCTGTACAGCCAGGTTAGTCTCAATAAAGATCCAGAAGATTTGTCATACAAAATACGACTCTATTTCATACTGACAAAAAGGTAAATTTTCTATGAAAATTGTTAGGATTAATGTGTTGTGACGTCGTTATAATTGTGCGTCAAACACATTTTTTTAAAGACGTAATTTTTTCCTAATAAAGGGGTTTTTTGTAGTATTATTTTTATTAAGTTATGTATTTGAATAAGGCAGCAACTCAATTAAAGATTTTGTAAGCACTTTTAAAACTCTTTGGTCGCCGGGAGGACAGAGGGCAGCTGATAACAATAATTTACGATGAGTAAATCGGCAATGTTCACAGGTCAGCAAGTTCCAGTGGCAGAGTCGCTAGGAGTTATGAGTGGTATTGCATTGTATTTACGCATTTTTATATAATATGATATACCTATATATTTATATACAAGTATACATTTGGAAAATACTTGGTATCTTGTCCAGTATTGACGACTTAGCGGAAAACAGTTTTTATTTTATGGTTATGAATAATTACATAAGAAAATTATGCTAAAATAACGCTCTGTTGTCATCCACAAACCTGGACAGTTCACGGGTATTAAGGGTTTTCCCTACATAAGAGATCTGGCGATAAACGATTAATTTGGGTCTGTGGGAGTCATCCAAAGACTTGAGAGAAGAGTCCACTGATGGAACAATCACCTGGTTGAGCGAATAATGATTACCGTCAAATCAGATAGCCAATTGCAATCTGATCTTTACTTTCTCGTGGAAGTGAAGCGGGTGCCGTCATTTCGGCTCCTATACAATCACAAACTATCGCATTTACAATATGACTACATCTAGGTCGGTAACGCCTCCGTAACTCCTCCGTTGTTGCGAGCGTCCATTGGCAGCGCTGATTGCTTACCGTCAGGTAATCCGTAAGCTCGTTTACCGCCCTGTAATATAAAAAAAATATATGTACCCTTATTTGTAAATTAATAAATGATTTAATGAAATACTAGTATAATTCCAAATGTATACACATTAGGGAATATGTTAGCTTAAACACAGGAGCACTGGGATGGAGCTTGCTGGCCATTTGTTTGTCTATATGTTTGTTTGTCTGTTGCGCACGTACTATGAAGATTTAAACAAAATCAAATCAACTTATAATATACAGGGTGGCAATATTGAACGAGGGATATATTTAAGGAGCCGATTTTGGTGGTCAGTTAAACAACTTTTCCATAGGACCTTTATGAACTGTAGCTGGGCAACTGGCTGCCGCGCAACGTGTCACGGGTTCACGGAACAACTTATTGTGTGATTCACAAATTGTTGTTTTGGGTCTGGGTGTGGTGTGTATGTCAAATTGTATGTTTGTAAATCCACTCATGATACAGGAGAAAATCCTAGTGTGGGGCAATGTTTTATAAAAAAATATTTTATATCTCAAAAATAAATTTATTTTTATCGCATACAAATAAATTTATTACAGACAAGTAAAGTTAAACAAGTTACAAATCGTAACAGCTAATTGATCGTTTCGTATGGAGGAGTAAAGATTTCCATATTGGTGTTTAAAAAAGTTGTTGTACACCAGAATCGGGTCCTCAAATATAGCCCTAGTTCAAAATGACACTATGTAGAGGAATATTTTTATGACGTTTTAAACCAAGGACAACTTTGTCAAACAATTTGGCTTTTAACTTTCATATCATTCAGTTGATTTGATACCGATCCTTATATAATATATAAATTATTAAACAAAGCTTAATGTGAGTTATTATTGTGTGAGTTTTAGAAATAATTAGTGTTTACATTTATTTCACTTCATTATTTAATTAAAAACACTCGCTAAGCACCTTTTGAAACGCTTCGTATAATGTTTCTGTTGATGTAACCAAAAATATTTTTTATTGCCATTCATTTATGCGTACCTGTATTAATTTGTAATATAATTAATTTGAATGTGCGTCTCACCCGTGTGAATGATTCAAGAAAACTCTATTAAGTTCAAGGATTCGAATCTTTACTACAACTTAATAATATAGTAATCATATTGAGGCATACTTTATTTATTGCCAATAACGACTTACTCTTACTTACTCAAGTGAATTAACTAAAAAAGCTTGATGAGTTTCAAATCATTATAGGATTCTTAATCATGAGCAGCGTCGTGACGTCGGCAGTAAAGATGTTCTCAGTCAATTCAGGCGAGGAAATTGTTAGTTTCAATGAATTTAGTATGTTTTTCCTGTGTCGCCGAGTTAATATTTGTTGTCATCCTAACAATATTTAATGCGGGAATTGAATTATTGATATTTTAACACGTCATAATGAAAATAAGTGTTTTGTATTTTCCTTCGTATGTATATAAAATGCGAAGATCATTATTATTATTTTTCTACAAGCATGTATACTTGTAAAATACTAAATTTTACAATTAAATAAGTGAATTAGTAAAATTAAAATGTAAAAGCCCTGTCTTCAAATCTGCCCTTTCGACACAAAGTAATATTGTTCTAAAATCTGAATTTGTGCCTTTACAGCGCTTTCAGCGATGTTGTCTCGAGTGTTCGAGTCTTCAAAGAACTTGGATGATGTAGCGCTGCATCACCTTATTGACGCGCTGTGCAAGCTTTCGAACGAAGCTATGGAGTTGGCATATTCTAACAGAGTGAGTTATGACAAAGTGAATTCACAGAGTACTGGTATGTCTATAGGCGTTCCACAAGGTGCAATATCAGGTCCTTTCTTCATTTTTATCGCAATAAATGGCCATATAATACATTAATAAGAATTTCCACACGATTTCACACAAAGCACTATATTAAAAATTGACCGTTGGATATGTGGAAATCATTAAATCGTTCAAAAGCTTTGAATGAGCCATCTCCCGCGCTAACCGCATTCGCGGCATTAAAATTCGTTCTGTGTGGCCAGGTTTGCATTCATCTTTAGATATAATATTACAGATATCGACAAGGTATGAAAAATTAAACATATATTTCATATATCAGTTCGATTGTGAAAAAATAATCAATACGAATTTTTTGAGTAATATGAAAACAATACTCAACTTAATCAACTTAAAGGGAACCTGGCTATCAATACTAAACAAAAAGCGCGCGTAGTAGTTACATCACGCGACGCGAGAAATAAGAAATTGTCATCATCCCTGACCTGGCATCAGCTATGCAGCTCATGTTTAAGAAGCGAGACCTTTAACATGCAAGCAATCATGTAATTTATGTTACTACATGAACAAATATTTAATTCTAGGAACCGTCACTGTTCGCGGTGGCCAAACTGCTCGAGACGGGCTTAGCGAACATGCACAGGATAGAGGTCATGTGGCGACCTATCACCAACCATTTATTGGAAGTAAGTGCCAACTTGTTACTCCACATAACTCCCATATTTACAACACGGGGTTTTTTATGAAAAAGGACTGAAAACGATTACCTAATGGTAAACATAAACAATCGACCACCGAATTGTGTCCGTTCCTGGTATTTTGGGGGTCAGGAGTTGGGAATTGGGGATTAGATCTATAGATTTGGATTAGAGAATCCAAAAAAAGCAAAAAGTTTTAGACCCTTTAGAGAGTACTATTGGATACTGTCTCTAGTCTCGATTACAAAATCATCAAAACGATGATTTCGGAAGAAAAAGGTGGCTAACAGCGAATGTTTTTGTCAATTTGTCAGGTATGCCAACACCCCCACATCAGGATGCGGGAGTGGGGTGTGGAAGCCATCACGTACCTCGTGCAAGCTGCCTTCCAGTACCATCACAACAACCCTTGTCTCGTTACTGAGGTAAGTACGCAAGCTTACATTAATAAAAAGTCGCCGTTAATCAACTTTCTATGATCATCTTCGTCATCATCATCATCATCTCGACCTTATAAATGCCCACTGCTAAGCAAAGGCCTCGTCTTACACGTAGAAGATTTCAATAAAAAATAACAAAATTTTGTTTTACTTAAGATTGTTCTGTTATATTGCATACTCTTCTTCAATGTTTTCCCGTGTCTAATATGTTACTAGAAGTACCACTTCTACAGGACTCTGTACATTAAAAAAAACAACAAATAATAAGTTAATTCTTTAGTATATTCGAAAGATTGCTCTGTCCATTGACAGTACAAGCTTCACCAGGGGATTCTCCTTCATGATCGAACAAAAATAGACTATCTGTTATATCAAGTCTGATTCAAATACATGCACGAAACGTTAACAAGTATACATCCATAAATTTTTCCTTTGATTTACAACCGTTTCAGGCTCGAGAACGTCTCCTACTAGAGCCTCTATCGGAACTGTGCGCTGTGCGTCAGTGCGATGTCAGAGCTCGCCAGCTGGAGTGCGCAGCCAGGCTGCTGCACTCTCGTGGAGATCAGCTGGGTGCTGCCTGGCCTCTCATGATGGAGATCATCTCCGCCATATCCTCACACCACAGGTAAACAGGGTCTGTTCATATGAGGGCCTTGCCGTTTGGTCCTCTGGGGTGGGCAAAGTACGTTTGTTACGTCTTTGGACTGTAATCTTATTAGTAGTTGTAGAAACCTTTCAATCCCGACTTGCCCACCTTTACATTCAGCAAGACTGACAAAAATAAAAGAACAAATTTTAAATTAAAAACTTATTCTTTTTTATATTATACGAAAACAAACTGGCATGCGGATTACCTAAAGGTAAACAATAAGCGCTGCCCGCAACAACAGAGGAATCACGAGTGGGTCGCCGATATTTTGGGGATTTAGTATTTGGACATTTTGGGATTGAGGGATGGGAAGGATTGGGCCTCCAGACACTCACACGGCGAAACACAACGGTCTAGTTCTTTCGCGCCGCTTTTCTGTGATGCCTTTGTATCACTCCGGTTGAGCCGGCCCATTTGTGCTGAAGCATAATTCTCTCATACTTAAATGTAGTTTTAGTAGTGTAGTTTAATAATTATGGTAAGCCATCAATCGCACGTTAATATAAAGGAGAACAAGCAAGACTGACAAAAATAAAAGACTAACCCCCGGTTTCCGAAAGGCCAATCAATGTTAAAATCAATTTAATCTCTTGTCAAGTCATCTGATTGGTTGACTGAATTATCAACAACCAATCAGATGACTTGACAAGAGATTTAACAGGAGATTAGTTAATTTTAGCGTTGACAAGCCTTTCAGAAACCTGGTGTAAATATTAAATAAAAAAACTTGTTCACAGCACTAAGCTTTAGTTATTGTTATATATATATTTTTATACCAGTTTTTATAGCATTGTATATATTTATACGGGCCTTGGATGCCTGATATGAATTGTACAATGAAGTGTGCAGAAGGTAAGCAATGCTACGTTTGTGCGCAGCGAGCAGTTGATCCGCTCGGCGTTCCAGTGCGCGCAGGTGGTGGCGGGGGACCTGCTGGGCTGCGCCGGGCCGCGCTGTCTGCGCCAGGTCCTCGCCGCCGCCGCCGCCTTCGCCACGCAGACCAAGGAGCTCAACATCAGCCTCACTGCCGTCGGACTCATGGTGATACCATCTTCTCACATCTTTATTTTTTTATGTTTTTGAACGGTCTGGAGCTGGTTTGGTTTTTGTCGGGGTAAGAGTCTGACACTCCCTCTAAAGAAGTAAGTTTTTTTTTTATCTCACCCAAATAAACTTTTGTTGCGTAATTTGTTATGCCAAGTGACTAGTAGGCCATGTTACAACCCACCCAGAAACTTCAGGGACGACGGTGACACAGTGGTCACGTGCCGCCGTGCACAGTGAGGCTTAAAGAGGTCACGTAACTCTCTACAGAGACTTGCCATAGGCGTTGCACCGAAGAGACTATGGAGTTAGCCTATTAAGAGGTCCCGGTATACCTTACAGGTGATGATGGTGGCTACCGGGGAGCTTTAAGTGAGGTATAAAAGCCTAAAGTTAGGCACGTTTTGAGGGTCTTCCTCGTTAACTAAAAAAAATATATATGACAAAATTGATATTTTTAAACGTTGCCCCACTAGGATTTTCTTCTAATTTAACATATTTGTTTTCGAAGCGATATAAGTTGTGTTTGATACGTTTGCAGTGGAATATATCTGACTACCTGTACCACAACCGCGACAAGCTGGTGGCGGCGTTGGCCAGCGACGCGGCGGTATGCCCCGAGCTGCCCCAACACGCGGACCTACCCCCTCTCGACAAGCTGTGGATGTGTCTCTACATACGACTCAGTAAGTTATATACGAAACTATGAATGTTACTAATATTATATATAAATATGAAAGTTTGGAAGAATGTATGGATGAATGTTTGTTATTGTTTCACGCAAAAACGGCTAGATCGATTTAGTTGAAATTTAGTATGTAGATAAGTGATACCCTGGAGAAACCTATAGGCTGCTTTTTATCAAAATACCACGCAGGCGACACCGCAGGGGAAAGCCATTTCAATATATGTGTTTATTCATTGCAAGTTTTCCCTTGTTTTGACCAAGCGTGGTAATTAATGCTCAAAACTCCATGTGAGAAGAGGCCTTTACTCAGCAGTGGGCACTTATAGGCTGACGATGATGATGAATAATAGATAAGATGTCGATAAACACAAAAAGAAAAATATAATTTTGACTCGTCTTGACGCGAGATTTAGTACTCCAAGCTTAGCCTCGAGTAGTATACCCTCGAGTTTTAGATGCTCGGTTTATAGACAATATCGTTGTAATATGTGGTTGTTGCAGGCGAGCTATGCACGGAGGCGCGCGCCCCGGTGCGTCGCGCGGCGTGCCAGACGCTGTTCAGCTGCGTGGGCGCGCACGGCACGCTGCTCAGCCGCCCCGCCTGGCGCGCGCTGCTCGCCGTGCTCTTCCCCATGCTCGAACAGGTAACGCAGCAAGCCTACCATTGGCGGAGTGCCCTGCTTGGGCTGAGCTCCGCCGTGTTCTCAGAGAAGTGATCGGTGGCGGCGACCTCTCGCGCCCGGCCTTAGTCGAGGCCATGGTGCAGATCGAGAGGAACTGGGACGCCGTCTCCTCCTTCTGTGAAGCAGTTATGCTCGCAAAGGAGGAGGCGGAGCGCGAGGGAACTATCCTCCTCACGCCCCAACCGCCACAGAAGGCGACATTCCGGGCGACGGGGATCGAGAGATGATCTCCGGCCACCGTAAGCGCGGGTCTGCGGTCGGCGAGTAAGGGTAGCTCGCCGCCTGACCAGAACCAGGCCCGAGCGTACGGCGCGTAGCGTTCCGGGCGCGCGTCAAAGAGCCAATAGACCACCACAGACAGGGCCTTATAGGGCTGATGTTCTGCCGGGGTTGCGGTGTAAAAACGGGAGAAGTCATTGAATGCTTTTCCCCTGACAAAAAAAAAGCATAGCTACCATCATAACAGAAGGTAGAGGACTACAGGAAGTGATCAGATAGTGTAACAGATTCTACATCGCGGTATAAAAGTTCCTCATCCTCCATTGAAAAGGGAGGATCCTCCGACCAGACGGGTGTTATGTCTGATGGGCTACTGCCCAACGGTTGTTGTCGGGATTTTGTATAGGTGCTAATTGCGATGAGAACTCTTATACCGCGATGTAGAATCTGTTACGCCATCTGTTGATTATTGTTCTCCATTTATGTAATTCGTCACATTACTGCGTGTGTGCGATAGATGTCACTACAAATGTCTTCAAGTGTAATCAAATCTTATTACGAATGGTCCGCCCCGACAGGATTACACGGCGTGAAATAACACTTGCCTGTCCAGAAATCAATAATTGAGTGAGACGTGCTTTCGTGGGTCATTTTGTTTTTGACAATTACATTTACAACATTTGGTAAAACCAGTTAAAGATGATAACTAAGTTTTTTACAAAAATCTAACTAACTTGCAGTATACAATTTATTCCATAGAGCGAATCTATCAACTTCCAAACCAATAATACTTGGAAATTATTGAATATGTTTCTCGTTTTACCACTTCAGGCTATAATGATAGTCCGAGCGTACGGAGCTTAGTGTTCCGCGCGCGCCTCAAAGAGCCAATAGACCACCACAGACGGGACCCCATAGGGCTGATGTTCAGCCGGGGTTGCGGGGTAAGCGCAATGAGGCATCGCGACCTCGGCCCAGAGCAAGAGAAAGAAGGGGAGTTTTCAGTCAGTAAGAGTCTAACACTCCCTCCCGCCCTACCCTGGTCGGAAGAAGACATTTGATGATTTTCCCGTAACAATAAAAAAGGGTATAATGATGAGGTTTTAATTACTATATTTCTTGCTTCTTCAGGTCCAGAAGCAGTCAAATATAGCGAGCTCCGAGAAGGTGGATACTGGAGACCATATACTGATACATCACACCAGAAATACGGCACAGAAACAATGGGCAGAGACGCAGGTAAAGTTGTACACGTCTTAATTGAGTAGTTTCCTAGGTCAAAAATAAATTAATTCGTTTCAATTCAATAAAATATTAAAAAAATAACTACACTTTTATTCTCCGATCTGTCGACACATACACTAAATTTTCGATATCTTTTACCATTTTTTTTAAGAAATAGTAAGCTATTTGACTCCTTTTTGCGTAGCTTTAAAGATTTAAGCATACATAGGGACAGAGAAAGCGACTTTACTGTGTTATATATGATTTTCTTTTAATTAGGAGATGATGATGATTATACCTTAATTAATTCTAGAAAATAAGTATGTAGTTACAAAAGAGGTTATGTTATCATCAGAATTAACGAATAAACTACAAAATTCACTTGGCTCGTGTGCGGTGAAACGAAAACCTTTCGAAACATCCTTTATTTAGACTCCGCTTTTTACAGCAACTTTACGCTGAGAGTTACGAACGTCCATAACATGCTGCGTAAAAAATATTCGATTCCAGAGGACCCTGCAGAAATTATTTGAGAAAACGCTTATTATGATATTTATAACAGTTAGAAAATATTAAACAACTTTAAACTTTGGCGTTGCATATTAATACTTTACTGTTTTACGGGATTTAACGCGATTTAGGGTTCATTTTTCAATGGTTAGATAAAAGTTTGTATAAGACAGTGACGGCAACAATTTTATTACTCAGATAACATTTATCTGACTATTGAAAAATCGACCCTTACCGCTTTTTTTCTTATTTGCTTGACGTTTTCGCAGGGCTTAGCTAGTTAGTAAATATGTTAAAAATGATTTTTTATAGGTACTGACCCTATCCGGCGTGTCCCGGGTCTTCCACTCGAGGTTCCAGCTCCTCACCACGGTGGGAGACTTCACCAGGTCCTGGACAGCACTACTTGACTACATCACTGACTTCGCTCTACGCCGGAGTCATGAGGTAAACACGAGTCTTCAATGTGTAACAACTCATGTTAAAAAAATAACAATACTTTTATTAATTGATCTATCTGTGGCGATTCACGTAGTAACGACAACAGATGGCGTAAAAATTCCTTATTATTAATTATAGCAAAGCCCAACGTACAACTGTGGGGCAGGGTCCCACTCCCACCAGATGCAACACTTGTCTGGTCGGAATATCCTCCTTTTTCAATGGAGGATGAAGAACTTTATACTCTGTTCTCTACTATCTCTAAATATCGATAGCTATTTTTTATGAAATAAGCTAAGTTTAGCTATTTGACGCAAAAATACTGTGACGTCATAGTCATTTTTATAGTTTCATACAAAATTTCATAGACAAGTATCGCTTTTGAAATTCGGATAAAAGTATTGAATTTAATTAGTTGGAAACTACCGTATTGTATGTTTGTAACTGCATGGATACCGGAGAATGATGACTGTTTTGCGTGCAGGTGTCGGTGGGGGCGCTGAAGTCGTTCCAGGAGGTGGTGTCCGCTGCGGGGCGTGCCACGGACGTGGACCCTGCCCTGATGGCGCGGGTGTGGGCCGCCGCGTGGGCTGCCTGGACCAACATCGCCTCCGCCTCGCCCGCTGACCCACCGCGTTGGTATTTTTTATACTCGCCTTTTATTCCCTACTAACTTTGCCCGTGACTTTGTTTGCGTGAAATAGTGACTTCGTGCAGATTTTTGGTTTGAAAACTATCCTATGTCCTTTCTTGAGTTTCAAACTATGTCCGTACAAAATTTCACACAAACAGGTTCAGTAGTTTAGGCGTGAAGAAAAGACAGACAGACTGACAGATTAGTTTGGATGAAGAAGTCTTGAATGTACACACATAGTGCCATGTGAAATGTGGTTACATAATGTCATAGACAATATGTAACCACATTTCACTTTATTTGTCCCATATTTAGCGACATCTACCAACATGGTGGGTCAGCCTTGTACCGGGCATAATAACAGACTCTATGTTATCACTATAAAAACTTCTCTTTGCGAACCCCCGACGCCATACTTGGTAGTCGCCCCAATCGACCAAGGCCAGGGGAGGACTATGATTGAGGCTTTTGTAAGGACCAGGGGAGGAGTAAAGGTTTGATTGTGTTGATAGTCTTAACAATATGAATGGTTTCGTCCCCAGCATCAGAAGACGGCAAGCCTGTGGAGGTGTACGCGCCTTCCCTGAACTTCCTTACTACGCTCGTGCAGATATTCCCGCTCATATTCCAACATATACGACCTACGTAAGTTAATGTATTTTTTTTATGGTATAAGTCGGCAAACGAGCAGACGGATTACCTGATGGTAAGCAATTGGCGCCGCCCATGGACACCCGCAACACCAAATGAGTTACGAGTGCGTTGCCGGCCTTTTGGGGATAGGGGTTGCGGATAAAAGGATAGGAGAAGGAAGGGATAGGAGAAAGGGAGGGATTGGACCTCCGGTAACCTCACTCACACGGCGGAACACAACGCTGGGTTGTTTCACGCCGGTTTTCTATGAGGCCGTGGTATCACTCCGGTCGACCCGACCCATTCGTGCCGAAGCTTGGCTCTCCCACACTTAAACCGCCGATCACTTCCCTGAGGACACGGCGGTGCTCAGCCCAGGCAGGGCATACCGCCACCGTATGCTCCACCGTATCCTCTAGGTGGTACCATGACGTGCTCTTTCTCGCCCAACCCGGCGTCAGCCTTCGGGAACCTAAAACCGTTGATTATAAATTCCTGATCCTTAAAGGGTGTGTTCTTTTTATAATGTAGAAACCTGGTAAGAAGGAATGAAAGTAGGTACTGGTACATATATGCTTAACGAGCTGTAACTTAGTGAAAAGCTAAATTTAAATGTAATCTGGTTGTCTCAGGTTCACAGCGGCGGACGTGTCCCGGCTGGGCGCGTGTCTGGCGCACGTGTGCAGCACGCGGCCCTCCGCCGCCGCCTCCGCGCTGGACTCCCTCTCCGCCGCCCCCGTCAGTCTACACGCGCTGCACTGCCTCGACATCGTGCACAAGGTACCCCCCACCCCCCTCCGCGCTGGACTCCCTCTCCGCCGCCCCCGTCAGTCTACACGCGCTGCACTGCCTCGACATCGTGCACAAGGTACCCCCCACCCCCCTCCGCGCTGGACTCCCTCTCCGCCGCCCCCGTCAGTCTACACGCGCTGCACTGCCTCGACATCGTGCACAAGGTACCCCCCACCCCCCTCCGCGCTGGACTCCCTCTCCGCCGCCCCCGTCAGTCTACACGCGCTGCACTGCCTCGACATCGTGCACAAGGTACCCCCCACCCCACTCCGCGCTGGACTCCCTCTCCGCCGCCCCCGTCAGTCTACACGCGCTGCACTGCCTCGACATCGTGCACAAGGTACCCCCCACCCCCCTCCGCGCTGGACTCCCTCTCCGCCGCCCCCGTCAGTCTACACGCGCTGCACTGCCTCGACATCGTGCACAAGGTACCCCCCACCCCCCTCCGCGCTGGACTCCCTCTCCGCCGCCCCCGTCAGTCTACACGCGCTGCACTGCCTCGACATCGTGCACAAGGTACCCCCCACCCCCCTCCGCGCTGGACTCCCTCTCCGCCGCCCCCGTCAGTCTACACGCGCTGCACTGCCTCGACATCGTGCACAAGGTACCCCCCACCCCCCTCCGCGCTGGACTCCCTCTCCGCCGCCCCCGTCAGTCTACACGCGCTGCACTGCCTCGACATCGTGCACAAGGTACCCCCCACCCCCCTCCGCGCTGGACTCCCTCTCCGCCGCCCCCGTCAGTCTACACGCGCTGCACTGCCTCGACATCGTGCACAAGGTACCCCCCACCCCCCTCCGCGCTGGACTCCCTCTCCGCCGCCCCCGTCAGTCTACACGCGCTGCACTGCCTCGACATCGTGCACAAGGTACCCCCCACCCCCCCTCCGCGCTGGACTCCCTCTCCGCCGCCCCCGTCAGTCTACACGCGCTGCACTGCCTCGACATCGTGCACAAGGTACCCCCCACCCCCCTCCGCGCTGGACTCCCTCTCCGCCGCCCCCGTCAGTCTACACGCGCTGCACTGCCTCGACATCGTGCACAAGGTACCCCCCACCCCCCTCCGCGCTGGACTCCCTCTCCGCCGCCCCCGTCAGTCTACACGCGCTGCACTGCCTCGACATCGTGCACAAGGTACCCCCCACCCCCCTCCGCGCTGGACTCCCTCTCCGCCGCCCCCGTCAGTCTACACGCGCTGCACTGCCTCGACATCGTGCACAAGGTACCCCCCACCCCCCTCCGCGCTGGACTCCCTCTCCGCCGCCCCCGTCAGTCTACACGCGCTGCACTGCCTCGACATCGTGCACAAGGTACCCCCCACCCCCCTCCGCGCTGGACTCCCTCTCCGCCGCCCCCGTCAGTCTACACGCGCTGCACTGCCTCGACATCGTGCACAAGGTACCCCCCACCCCCCTCCGCGCTGGACTCCCTCTCCGCCGCCCCCGTCAGTCTACACGCGCTGCACTGCCTCGACATCGTGCACAAGGTACCCCCCACCCCCCTCCGCGCTGGACTCCCTCTCCGCCGCCCCCGTCAGTCTACACGCGCTGCACTGCCTCGACATCGTGCACAAGGTACCCCCCACCCCCCTCCGCGCTGGACTCCCTCTCCGCCGCCCCCGTCAGTCTACACGCGCTGCACTGCCTCGACATCGTGCACAAGGTACCCCCCACCCCCCCTCCGCGCTGGACTCCCTCTCCGCCGCCCCCGTCAGTCTACACGCGCTGCACTGCCTCGACATCGTGCACAAGGTACCCCCCACCCCCCTCCGCGCTGGACTCCCTCTCCGCCGCCCCCGTCAGTCTACACGCGCTGCACTGCCTCGACATCGTGCACAAGGTACCCCCCACCCCCCTCCGCGCTGGACTCCCTCTCCGCCGCCCCCGTCAGTCTACACGCGCTGCACTGCCTCGACATCGTGCACAAGGTACCCCCCACCCCCCTCCGCGCTGGACTCCCTCTCCGCCGCCCCCGTCAGTCTACACGCGCTGCACTGCCTCGACATCGTGCACAAGGTACCCCCCACCCCCCTCCGCGCTGGACTCCCTCTCCGCCGCACCCGTCAGTCTACACGCGCTGCACTGCCTCGACATCGTGCACAAGGTACCCCCCACCCCCCTCCGCGCTGGACTCCCTCTCCGCCGCACCCGTCAGTCTACACGCGCTGCACTGCCTCGACATCGTGCACAAGGTACCCCCCACACCCCTCCGCGCTGGACTCCCTCTCCGCCGCACCCGTCAGTCTACACGCGCTGCACTGCCTCGACATCGTGCACAAGGTACCCCCCACCCCCCTCCGCGCTGGACTCCCTCTCCGCCGCACCCGTCAGTCTACACGCGCTGCACTGCCTCGACATCGTGCACAAGGTACCCCCCACCCCCCTCCGCGCTGGACTCCCTCTCCGCCGCACCCGTCAGTCTACACGCGCTGCACTGCCTCGACATCGTGCACAAGGTACCCCCCACCCCCCTCCGCGCTGGACTCCCTCTCCGCCGCCCCCGTCAGTCTACACGCGCTGCACTGCCTCGACATCGTGCACAAGGTACCCCCCACCCCCCTCCGCGCTGGACTCCCTCTCCGCCGCACCCGTCAGTCTACACGCGCTGCACTGCCTCGACATCGTGCACAAGGTACCCCCCACCCCCCTCCGCGCTGGACTCCCTCTCCGCCGCCCCCGTCAGTCTACACGCGCTGCACTGCCTCGACATCGTGCACAAGGTACCCCCCACCCCCCTCCGCGCTGGACTCCCTCTCCGCCGCCCCCGTCAGTCTACACGCGCTGCACTGCCTCGACATCGTGCACAAGGTACCCCCCACCCCCCTCCGCGCTGGACTCCCTCTCCGCCGCCCCCGTCAGTCTACACGCGCTGCACTGCCTCGACATCGTGCACAAGGTACCCCCCACCCCCCTCCGCGCTGGACTCCCTCTCCGCCGCCCCCGTCAGTCTACACGCGCTGCACTGCCTCGACATCGTGCACAAGGTACCCCCCACCCCCCTCCGCGCTGGACTCCCTCTCCGCCGCCCCCGTCAGTCTACACGCGCTGCACTGCCTCGACATCGTGCACAAGGTACCCCCCACCCCCCTCCGCGCTGGACTCCCTCTCCGCCGCCCCCGTCAGTCTACACGCGCTGCACTGCCTCGACATCGTGCACAAGGTACCCCCCACCCCCCTCCGCGCTGGACTCCCTCTCCGCCGCCCCCGTCAGTCTACACGCGCTGCACTGCCTCGACATCGTGCACAAGGTACCCCCCACCCCCCTCCGCGCTGGACTCCCTCTCCGCCGCCCCCGTCAGTCTACACGCGCTGCACTGCCTCGACATCGTGCACAAGGTACCCCCCACCCCCCTCCGCGCTGGACTCCCTCTCCGCCGCACCCGTCATCATGATCCCTATATGATCCCTCTTCGCTCAAAGAATTCTGCGAGTGAAGTATGAAATTCGTTGAGCTACATAACTGGCATTTGTTGATGTCAAAAATGGCACGGCTCTATACTGGGCCGGGCTAAAAATGGTCTCAGTAGATCAGAATGTCACGTTGCACCCGGTACAGGAGGCGCTGCAGCGACACGAGCTGCTGGTGGCGCTGTTCGCGGCGCTGACGGGGCTGGCGCGCAGCTGCGCGGGCCGGGGCTGCGGCGCCGCGCCGCGCTGCCTGGCCGCCGCCGCCGCGCTGTACCGCGCCGCGCCCGTGCCCGCCGCGCCCGTACTGCCGCCGCTACTGCTGGTACACTACTTTATTCATTGATTATGACAACGTAGGCTCACAGCCTATGTATACAAAGTAATTCGAAGTATTCGTTATAGGTAGGTATAGGTATAGGAAGCTCTTATACATTGACCAGTTAGGAACCAAACAACATTCTTAAAACACAACAAACAAAATTAACAAAATATATATAAATTACTAGCAGACCCAGCCACGCGTTGCTATGGCTAAGGTTCTTGCCAAAATCATATTGTGACTGTGAATTGAGATGTAAACTATCCTACCTTTCAAGTTGGATCAAAATACACACGGAGTGCAAATCAAATTTAAAATCGGTTTAGTAGTTTAGGAGTCCATCGCGGACAAACAAGTCATTCCGAAACCATCATCATACATCATCATACTCTTGAAATCTTTGACTATTGGTTAGGTATCTAACTAAATTCAAAACTAACTAAAGCATAAATGTCGTGGTGGTAAGGAAGTTAAAGCGCCCTCTTCTCATGCATGAGGATGCGGGTTCGGAACCTGGCAAGTACCAATGTGACTTATATGTACTTTCTATGATTATTTAAGACACCACAGACAGACACAGGTGATGGAAAAACATCGTGATGAAACCTGGAGTTTTAATTTCTCATTATAAGTTCGAAATCGTCAATCCGCCTTGAGTAAGCATGGTGATTAATGCTCAAACCTTGTCCGTGTGGGAAGATGTCTTTATTCAGGAATTTAATAGTTTGAAAATAAAGATATCCATTAAATAATAACGCTTACGTTTTATTCATGTATTTTGACGTTGCAACCTGCAAAGTATTTGTATGTAAGTTAATAGAAATAAATTCTTTGCCGCAGGCCTTACACTCTGCAGTCCAGAACTTCGGTCAGGACAAACGACGCAAGACAGCTGAACAAATGGAGGAGACCGCACAGATCTCATCGCTGTTATTGCAGGTAAACAATCAATATTATAGTATATTCGCAAATATATTCTCTTCTTCCACTTCTTTTACTACATATCAGTAGATAGGCCAAGGAAAATAAATAGCGGACTTTTTGAGATTATAAAAAATTCAACCGCCGCCATCGCCTGGCGTTCATGTGTGTGTGAAAAAGTAAAAACCGGGTAGTTTCCTAGGTCAAAAATAAATTTATTCGATGTTTCAATACAATAAAATATTGAAAAATAAATATAATTTTATTCGTCGATCTTTCGATACTGTTTAGCTAGTTTTTTAAGAAATAAGTAAGAATACTCGCTGCTCGGCTCTTACCGTGATATTCTATAGCCTATAGCACTCGGGAACATTGTAGCTATCTGTACGAGCTACGCTGTACATATACTTTAGTCGTCATACGCGCGAATAATTAAAGAACTGTTCAATGATCAGCATTTCTGAACATTATAAACTTATTAATTAATTCAAAAAGTACAGTAGCAATTAAACTATCTAAGTGATTCGTGGTCTACCCATTTTAATAAAACAACATTCCACATTTCAACATAAACTAACAAACAACGCGAAACGAAGAACCAAATGTAAGGGTTGTAAGGGATTTACAACCCCTACTTTTGGTCCTCCGATCCATTTTTATATTGTGTGATTTACTATTTATTTACGATTGCGAATCGGTTGTACTGGCCTCCCAGAAGGGGGTCTCACCAGTGATCAATTGAGAAGTCGCATAATATCATAAGTAGAAATGGTTGCACAACAACTGGAACCAGGAGTGTGGAGTGAAATTCTGCATTATCAGATCGAAGTTTTCGTTTTGTATTGAACGGGAAGTGTTAACAGAACGATGCAGTCCTCAAAACCAGAGGGAACTCTCTGAAAATATAACACAGAAGGTAGGAATCAATATCAAGAAAGACGTTTCGACTAGAAAGAATGCTGACTATTTCAAACGGCAAATGCAGGTGATGAGTTTCAATTTAACCGTTTTACAACAGAAGAATGCGGTAAACACCCATACTTTATATCTGATTGGTACAACAAGACACGTCAGGTTTATCAAGATGTGAAAAATCTAATCATTTCACAACATCAACAGTCTTCAGAACAGTTGCCAACTGGGAAATCAGTTACACCAACCCCGAGCACCTCTCATCAAGTTCAAGAGAGGGTTGACGGAGAAGAAGAGGATCAATCAAGCGGGGAGGAGGGTGATATGAATAATCTATCTGAATCACACGAGAATAGCGACAGTGATAGATCTCCTTCTAGCCTACAGCAACATATCCTCACGAAGAGAGATATAGGGTCCAACAGCAAGCTGGATAACCTACTTCGTAAACAAACAGCGCATTTCAAGGCTTTTATGAGAGCTGTAGTTAACATTCGACCGGAGTGATACCACAGCTTCACGGAAAACCGGCGTGAAACAACCACAGCGTTGTGTTTTGCGTGTGAGTGAGGTTACCGGAGGCCCAATCCTTCTCCACCCTTAATCCCTCCTCAATCCCTAAATCTCCAAATCCCTAATCCCTAAAAGGTCGACAACGCACTCGTAACTCCTACGTTGCGGGTGTCCATGGGCGGCGCTGATTACTTACCATCAGGTAATCCGTCTGCTCGTTTGCCGATCTATAACATAAAAAAAGCATTCAAGTCGAATTATAATTTTAGACGGCAACTTTGCCGCAACTGCAACTTGCCGGGGTTGCGGGGCGAGCGCAATAAGGTACCGCAACATCGGCCTTGAGCAGGAGAAAGGACGGGCGGCTTTTTAGTCAGAATTCATTTGGTGATTTTCCCCTCAAAAAGACAGTAATGAAGGTTGTCATGTAACATTTCTCTCTTTACAGGTACTGAATACAGGGTTACCGTTAGCTAGAGAAGATCCCGAGGCGTACAAAGAGTTCTGGGAGACTCTGCCCAAAGTATTGGAGACATTCCTCTTCGAGCCACCGTGAGTACTTTCCTCTTACCTGTATGACAAACACCTGAAATCGTTGCTTTAGTAAACTACCTATTTTCGTTGTCATAACATTTGGACATTTGGATTTTAATCCAGTATTGTGACCTATGTGCTTGTAACCTATCTACTCCTTTTTGCTTATGATATCATTGTGTATAAGAGTGAAGGCCTCAGTAACGCAATATATTGTATTTGAACAGCGTGGGTGGTGGCCAGGCGGCGCGACAGTTGGTGGTGGCGCTGCGAGAGCAGGCGCTGCGCGCGCGTCCCCGCCTGCCGCCGCCGCTGCTGCGCGCGCTGCTCGCGCTCGTGCGCGCCGGCTCGCTGCACGCGCAGCCCGCCCCCCCCCATACGTACGTACCCACTCTGCCTCACGTTACTAGTGGCCCCGCCTGCCGCCGCCGCTGCTGCGCGCGCTGCTCGCGCTCGTGCGCGCCGGCTCGCTGCACGCGCAGCCCGCCCCCCCCATACGTACGTACCCACTCTGCCTCACGTTACTAGTGGCCCCGCCTGCCGCCGCCGCTGCTGCGCGCGCTGCTCGCGCTCGTGCGCGCCGGCTCGCTGCACGCGCAGCCCGCCCCCCCCATACGTACGTACCCACTCTGCCTCACGTTACTAGTGGCCCCGCCTGCCGCCGCCGCTGCTGCGCGCGCTGCTCGCGCTCGTGCGCGCCGGCTCGCTGCACGCGCAGCCCGCCCCCCCCATACGTACGTACCCACTCTGCCTCACGTTACTAGTGGCCCCGCCTGCCGCCGCCGCTGCTGCGCGCGCTGCTCGCGCTCGTGCGCGCCGGCTCGCTGCACGCGCAGCCCGCCCCCCCCATACGTACGTACCCACTCTGCCTCACGTTACTAGTGGCCCCGCCTGCCGCCGCCGCTGCTGCGCGCGCTGCTCGCGCTCGTGCGCGCCGGCTCGCTGCACGCGCAGCCCGCCCCCCCCATACGTACGTACCCACTCTGCCTCACGTTACTAGTGGCCCCGCCTGCCGCCGCCGCTGCTGCGCGCGCTGCTCGCGCTCGTGCGCGCCGGCTCGCTGCACGCGCAGCCCGCCCCCCCCATACGTACGTACCCACTCTGCCTCACGTTACTAGTGGCCCCGCCTGCCGCCGCCGCTGCTGCGCGCGCTGCTCGCGCTCGTGCGCGCCGGCTCGCTGCACGCGCAGCCCGCCCCCCCCATACGTACGTACCCACTCTGCCTCACGTTACTAGTGGCCCCGCCTGCCGCCGCCGCTGCTGCGCGCGCTGCTCGCGCTCGTGCGCGCCGGCTCGCTGCACGCGCAGCCCGCCCCCCCCATACGTACGTACCCACTCTGCCTCACGTTACTAGTGGCCCCGCCTGCCGCCGCCGCTGCTGCGCGCGCTGCTCGCGCTCGTGCGCGCCGGCTCGCTGCACGCGCAGCCCGCCCCCCCCATACGTACGTACCCACTCTGCCTCACGTTACTAGTGGCCCCGCCTGCCGCCGCCGCTGCTGCGCGCGCTGCTCGCGCTCGTGCGCGCCGGCTCGCTGCACGCGCAGCCCGCCCCCCCCATACGTACGTACCCACTCTGCCTCACGTTACTAGTGGCCCCGCCTGCCGCCGCCGCTGCTGCGCGCGCTGCTCGCGCTCGTGCGCGCCGGCTCGCTGCACGCGCAGCCCGCCCCCCCCATACGTACGTACCCACTCTGCCTCACGTTACTAGTGGCCCCGCCTGCCGCCGCCGCTGCTGCGCGCGCTGCTCGCGCTCGTGCGCGCCGGCTCGCTGCACGCGCAGCCCGCCCCCCCCATACGTACGTACCCACTCTGCCTCACGTCAGGAATGGTTGGGCCTCCGGTAATCTCATTCACAAGGCGAAATACAACGCTGTGGTTGTGTCGCGCTGGTTTTCTGTAAGGCAGTGGTATCACTGCGGTCGAGCCGACCCATTCGTACCGTAGCTTAGCTCTTCCACACTTTAAATTCGTTATTATATTATACTAGCTGCCCGCCCCCGCTTCGCACGGGTCTTACAACGATAACAACAAAAGGGTCAGTTTCCTCCAATTTTCCACTCTACTTTACTTAAATTTTCTGTGATAAGAACCTTCCCTGGCCATAATAAATACAACAAAAAAATAATTAACTAAATTGGTCCAGTTGTTTTTGAGTTATGCGCTTGCCATTATTATTATTCTTTCATTACGTTATTCGCGTGACAAAAAAATGACAAAACATACAACTTATGGCATTTACCTTTATTTTCTTATAACAGAAAACGAACAAGAGTTGAAAGAGAGAGAAGAGTTTGCGCGGACGTGTTTTGAGACCCTCCTGCAGTACTCCATGCTTGAGGATATCGACTCATTCGCTGGAGTTGAAGGTACGTACACAATAACAAAATGTTCTTATCATCAAGCTCAAGTAAGCAATCAGCGATGCCCATGGACACCCGCTACACCAGAGGAGTTGCAAGTGCGTTGCTGGTCTTTTGGAGATTAGGGTTTCAGAAATTTAGGGATTGATGGAGGAGATGGATTGATTTTTGTGTACATGATTTTACAAAAAATATATGAGGGTATTTTTTTATATTCACTTTTAAAAATGCAACTAAACAGATGCAAAAATCAAGGTCGCACAACTCGGAATATTTATAAAATGTGTATTATTATTTATTATTAATATTATAAGGAGGTAAAATTTGGGCCTCCGGTAACCTCACTCACTCGGTGAAATACAACGCTGTAGTTGCTTTTGGCCGGTTTTCTGTGAGGCCGGGATATCACTCCGGTCGAACTGACCCATTCGTGGCGAGGCTTGGCTCTTCCACACTTACTTACATAACTTACTATTCAAAAATTAAAGAAATATGATAATTTTGTCAATTTACATAACAAATGTAATGTTTTTACAGATGACGCAGATCCCTTAGCGATAGTAGCCCTCTTAGATAGATTCCACGAGGTCATATCGAAATACACACAGGACGAAGATAACTCCGAGCCACTGCCCAGGTAAGTACCTGTGACAGCCCAATTTTTCCCTATATCATAGGCCGGCAAACGAGCAGATGGACTACCTGATGGTAAGCAATCAGCGCCGCCCATGGACACTCGTAGTACCAAAGCAGTTACTCTACAAGTGCTTTGCTTTGATAGGGGATTCGAGCATAGTTTGTGAGGAGAGGTTTAGGCCTCCGGTAACCTCACTCATCCGGCAACACAACCTAAGTGTTGCTTTACGACGGTTTTCTGTGAGGTCGTAGCATCACTCCGGTCGAGCCGACCCATTTGTCTGACTCTCCCACACTTATCGTAATCTCCATGTTAAGAAACTTAAAAAAGTTCTATTTTAAGGAAAATATTATTTACTTTTTTAAACGCTTCTACAACACAGGCATCAGCTATCAGAGATATCTTTCGTGCTGAAGGCAGTGGCGACCCTCACAGACTCGATGAAGAAGGCACCCCCAGGGAAGGTAGACGCCGTCGCATGGCAGAAGTTAATAGGTAATTACAACGTTCTTATGCTCATTACAAGGTTGGATTTTAAACGTATATAGTAAATTATCTGTTTCGTGTTTAAGTTGGGAAGTAGTATAATGTGGTCGTAGTAGCCCGCAGGTTAAGGCGCCCGCTTCTCATGAATAAGGGTGCGGGTTCGAAACCTTGCAAGTACTAATGTGACTTTTTCCGAGTTATATGTCTTTTCTATTATTTAGACACCACTTACATACGGTGAAGGAAAATATCGTGAGGAAATATGGACATGTAATTTTTTATTATAAGTTTAAAATCGCCAATCCGCCTTGAGCAAGCGTGCAATTAGCCAAATTTTAGTGTGTAAGTAGGAAAATAAAGATCGAAATAGTACCTATTGTAGTTATTTGATGTAGATACCAATCAATTTGTATGCGTTTTAACGAAGCCAAATCTTCTCAAATCACTGATCGGCGGCTGAGCTGAGCAATAATTAGTTGTCGGACGGGTGTCAGATTGATTGAAACATCACAAAGTATAATGCAGAACTGACTTTATTTCTGGTAATACACGGGTTATATATTGGTTACATAAAGTTTATAATAAGTACTTACATACTATGCCACAAGTATTTTATTATTAATCTTCATTTATCTTTACATCCAATAATAAAGTAACAAGCCCAAATAGTTTTTACGTCATTTTAACAAAAATCAAAGATTCGTTTCAAATAAACTATAACCACGTTTTAAAATGGTAAAACGAAATAGTCAATCGGTCCACTAGTAGAGCTATGTAATCGTTGTCAAAGTGAAGAAACTCAATATTTTTCTGAAATAAATTGTTAAAAGTTTTCCTAAGAGATTCGAGACTTTGATTTGGTGGAGAAAAAAGCCGTCAGCGAAAAGTGGCCTAAGCTGCAGATAGGTAGTATGAAAATATTGGAGTTTGTATACTTATAGGGTAAGGCCGCTTTTGCGCTGACAGCGTCGACTATGTATGTACGTTTGTGGCAGGGCTGTACCCTCAGCTGGTGGTGCTGGCGGCGAGCGGTCGCGCGGGGGGCGCGGGCGGCGGCGGGGGCGGCGCGCTGCGCGAGGCGCTGCTGCAGTACGAGGCGCTGCTGCAGGCGCCGCCGCAGCTATAGCGCATCCACGCCCGCACGCGCCGTCTCTACACCATGCACATCTAGCGACACACGGTGACACAATCTACATTAACTAATTACCCCCTTTTGGCATCCGTCCACCATCCCATCCTCCCAAACGGAGAGGGCTTCTCCCACCCCTTGTGGGGCGAGAGGGAGTCTGACTAAATACCATCCCGTTCCTTCCCCTGCTCCGGGTCGGGGACGTCGTACATTCAAAACCCTAACTGAACTTTTTATACACCCTTATGTTCAGAAATAAATACTTCTTCTTAATTTTTTTTTGTGTGATATGTCGTAAAACGATTTGACCGATTACCTAATGGTAAGCAATCAGCGCCGCCCCCGGAGTTGTGAATGCATTGCCGACCTTTTGGGGATTAAAGATTTGGAGATTTTGGGATTAGGGGAGGGGAAGGATTGGGCTTCCGGTAACCTCACACAGCGAAACCAGGCCGTGTTATGACTCTAGTCGAGCCGACCCATTCGTGCCGAAGCTTGATATGTATCATGATGATGAGCAAATAGCTTCACTAAGAGGACTGACCGACAGCCTGACAATTTTTATGTTTAATTTTTGTTTGACGTTCAAAAGTCTAGTGACTGTAAGGGTCTCATTAAAATAAATAATTTTGACTTTTACTTTGAATAAATTACAAATAATTTTAAATCGGGTAAAGCGTCTTTAAAAAAAACCATCTGTATACCTACAAAGACCAGAGACGAAGTTTGCCACTTAAAACTAAGTCGTCACAAATCCAAAACTAACTAAAAACTTCTTTTCAGTGACCATTTCAAAAAGTGAAGTTGTCGGCCCGCGGACACAGGTGGCGCTGCAAACGATATTTACATAGCTATCTAAAGAACTGTATGAAATAACTTTAAATAGTATTTTAATATATAAACTAGTGCTGTTTCCAATAAGTTATTGTTAGATAGTAAAAATTTTATAGATAGAAATTTGTATGTTGAGTCGGAATGCTATATTACATACAGGGTGTAAAAAGACACTTAACGAAGCCGAAAGCCACGTATTCTACCCATTATTTGGATCACTTTTTTCTTTAAGACCATAGCTGGGACTCCACGGGTTCTCGAGATATTAAAGGTCAAAGACGCATTTTTATTTTTTATTTTTTTGCGCAATCGAATTCAAAGTATTGTTCAAAACTTTTTTCCAAACAAACATTACCTGAATTTTCGATTTTTCTAAATAAATTACGCATTTGAAGTTACGAACAGTAATGTACGTAATAAATAAATGCAGACCCGCACAAAAAACATCGTGCATCTCAGTAGGATTTTTATTTTACAGAAATGTTTTGTTGTTGCGAAGTAAAACGTTGACCTACGTACTTATCACAGCGTTTTAACGCTAAGCTGTGAACCTACGCACACAATGACACGAAGCCCGTTTGCTTTACATTGCGCGCAATATTTTTTTTTTATACCTAAAGTAAAAGTAGTTTCCCAGTGATAATTTTAGCGTAAAGTTACTTAGTTAGAACTGCAGAATGCGTAGTTAACGACTTCGTTAACACATTCAGTGCCCCCGACGCGTATGTGCGTTTCCTCGCACGCACATACGCGTCGGGGGCACTGAATGTGTTAAGTGTCTTTTTACACCCTGTATAAGAAAGTGTAAAAATATCATTAATAATTATTGTTTTTTAAAAATAAAATGCGGTATGTAAATAAAATGTGTTTCTGTGAGTTAGCTGTGTGCTATGAATTTTTCGGTAGTTTTTCAGGATTTTCGGGTTTATTTTTGTTTTGATAATATAACATATCGACTGAACATATTTTTTTTATATTAAAAATGAGAAACGAAGTTGTTTTATTATTATTATTTTGCGTAAACTGAGCCTTTTAAATGCGTTTTAGTGCTGATTTTTCAATAGTCAGATAAATGTTATCTGAGGAATAAAATTGTTGCCGTCACTGTCTTATACAAACATTGTGACGCGACAGCATCATAACTATTGCCCAGGTAATTTTTATATAACCTTTAAAAATTTGCCCTTAGACTGCAATTGGTAAAATGTTAATGTCCTTTTTTTATATTTCTGTCAACTTAACAAAGATTTCTTAGGTATATAATTCGAGTGAATGAAAACCTTATTTAAGCATTCCTCTAATATATCGGCCAAATATGTATAGTTTTATTTATGTATTATAACAATTTATTTGTATATAACTGCATATTATTAATACATAAAACGTTATATGTTATGTGTGTAAGGTTATTTTTAAATTATAAACAACCTCTCTGGATATTTTTGTCTCATAATTTAAGAAAACGATTTTTGTTTAATGACTTGTTAATATTCATAAGAATTTTAGTCCAAACATTGTTATACAAAAATATAAATCGTAAATTAAACCCTTTAAATATTATAAAAAACAATATTAGTAATATCTAATACTTACAGAGACTACGCGAACGTAGCTCAGCACGGTAAACCTTAAAATAAGATTGTGTTATAGTATAATTAATAATAAATTAATCGTCAAGTCAATCGTGAAATATAGGGAAATATTTCATTAAGTAAAAAAAAACGAATCTTTTAATTAATTAACGTATTATTGAACCAAATAATAAGAATACATAACTTGGAATGATCTTAAAATAAAATTCTTATTCTTTGTAATTGTTTTTATTCAGGCGAATCAAATTTTAGATTATTCATTTTCAAAAATATATTTCACACAAAAATGCCGAAACTTAGACGAAAGCCAATACCGAAAACCGGATTACATGCAATTGCATATAAAAACATAAATTTGTTGTTTTAATGAGTAATTTGCGCAAAAATATGCTAATTGCGCAAAAAATCAACATTTCGTGCTAAAACGCGCTATTTGCGCAAAACGTGCTATTGAGCAAAAATATGTTATTTGCAGTATACATACCTCTACCTCATTCATTTTCCAGCAGACGAAATGTTATTATTTATACTAAAACACAACCCAAGCAGCTAATGAATCCCTTCCGGCACCCGCTACTGATATAAAAATACTTAAATATAAGGATAATTCGACAAATAAATAATAGATTAAGACAGCCATAGCTAAAGATCTAGATTCTAGAAACGAACATTGTAATTGCTAAAGTTTAAACGGGCTTAAAGTTTTCGCTGATATTAAGTTCTAATGTCGTTCAAATTACAATTTTTCGCCTATCTCTGTGCCGATTTTCATAAGAATCCATTCATAGTTTTTACGTGGAAGAGAAACAATCCATTCTTACAAACTTTCTTTATTGTTTTGTTAATAGGATAACAATTGAATAGGAGGTTTATTTGCTTATCCAATTAAAAGTAAGCAACAATTGTTAAGGGGGAAATCATCTAATGATTTCTCCGGCCCTGGGTGAGGAGAGTGGGAGTGTCAAACTCTTAGTGCCTATACACCATCCCGTTCATTCTTGTGCTCCAGACTGGGTAGCGACACATTTGTGCGATTTCACCCGGTTAATTAAAATGTAATTCTATTATTTACTTTGGACCTCATCACATAAATTCGCATTACTTTATATAAGGATAGTAACATAAAAAAAAAAAAAAGTTTAAGTTACTTTTTTTTCTCTATGCCTGAATTTTAAGCCTTCTTAACATAGCTTAGCTTTATGAGTAAAAAAATCATACAATGTCAATAGTAGCTTAGCTTAAAAAACATTCTATCAGCAATTGATTAACTTACAATAAAAATATTACTCTATCTCTTAACAACTTTTACGCTGTGCGAACTTTCATACAATGTAAAAAAACAATGGAACTACTGAAACGATTTTAATGCAGCTTACATTAAATACTTTACACACCTTTCGCCCGCGGATTAGCAAGCTTATAAAAGTAATGTACCCCGGGATTTTAAAAACACCAATGTTTAAAGCCATACCTCGGCTAAAATGCATAAATCTAGTATAATTTATACCCTATAGTAATCAGGAACATTGTAAATTCAGTCAGTCATTCAATCAGAAAAATTCGATCAGCAGTTCCAAACATCACCCGCTACATACAAACTTAAAAATGTTCAAAAATTTTACTACGAACATTTATAAAACTTCAAATGATCGTTCATAATTTGCTTTACGTTGAGCAAATCGACGCTTTGATTGGTCCGCTAAAAGATAACCGACCAATCAAAGTCTCTGACGCGTCGGACTTCAGTGTTTCGGTGTTTTCATGGTTTTATCTACTGTAGATCCTGGCTTACAGGAGTTGCGGCGGTTTTGGGAGGTTATGTCCACAAAAATCACCAATCAAAGCTTAACGCTATTTTAATCTTTCTTTCCAAAACATTCGTAATTTAAGTTTTTAAATCTCGATATTGTATTCTATCGACTCGCCCCACCTACGTACGAATGCAGCGCTGATACTCAATTTTTATACTATTTATTGGATGTTATTATATATAATATACATAAACCTACATCTTCAATCACTCATTCAATAAAAAAACGGCTGCATAGATTTAAACATTTAAGCTTACATAGGGATAAAGGGACAGAGAAAGTGACTTTGTTTTATACTGTGTAGTGATGAGAACCAAATTTCATTTGTATCGGATCAGTAGCTTCCATGTTCTTAAAATTCAAAATTTGTATGAAATTCCGCACAACGTAAACGCTTTCAAAGCTGATATGAGAGACAGATTTTTTTTAATACCTAGAGCAAAGTAACATTATTATCAGTAGCCATATTATTTAGCTTTATATATATATTTTTAAGAATTATCACCAGATGGTTTAAAATTTAAATTTAAAGTAGAATTTGATACTTACCATAGTAAATAAGGCATAGATAAAATTAATTTAATTATAGTTTCTGGTTAACGACAATGGCGCTAGTGGATGTAGCTGTTTGTTTTGTGTAAATTGTGTATATATAGATTTTTTAATATAATACAATTATGAAATTTAATGCTGTTTTAATTTTCCCCTTTATTATTTATTTACTTAATTAACATAATTATGGTGCTTTATGCTGGATAAAACTTTATGTTGGTAATAAATATTACTTCAAATTATGACAAAAGCACCGTTTCAACTAATGATGTCTTTCCATTTGTACCTCTAGTACTAAAACTAGGTATATCTACGATAAATACAAGAATTTAACTAAACATTTTTCTATGTCTGGCGCAGATTGCTTACCATCTGGTAAATGGTAAGTTATTATGCCGCCTTAACTAAAAAAAAAGATTTGTTAGGAATTATACGTCTCAATTCTTTTAAACTTTAAACAATTCTTCGTCTTATTTCTTTAGACATAAGTTGCACAGTGTTGCTGACAAAAACATATATCGGTTTAAAGAAATATACTAACAAGACAATGAACTAAACTGGAATACTGCCAGATTGACCACACGTGGCTATTCTATTTATATTGGCGCCATAGAGGCGTCTTCGTAAACAAACTTCATTATATCGCCATCTCTTACAAATAGTACGGGCTAGAATGAGATGGCTGGAATAATAAGTCTTAGTATAAGAATATGCTTGGAGTCTCTCTACTGAAGGATTGTATTCAAGTGTGGGAGAGCCATGCTTCGGCACTAATGGGTCAGCTCGACCGGAGCGATACCACGGCCTCACAGAAAACCGGCGTGAAACAACCACAGCGTTGTGTTTCGCCGTGTGAGTGAGGTTACCGGAGGCCCAATCCTTCCCCAATCCCTAAACTTCCAAATCCCTAATCCCTAAAAGGTCGGCAACGCATTCGTAACTCCTTTATTGCCCATGGGCGGCGCTGATTGCTTTCCATCATCCGTATGCTCGTTTGCCGAACTACAACATAAAAAAAAATTCAAAACGAGGTGATCCGACAAAGAACGAAGGTTGTCGACATAGCCCAAAGGATTAGCAAACAAAAGTGGCAGTGGGCAACTCACACTTGTCTTGTCGAAAAACCGACGACCATTGGGGTAGCCGTGATCTAAAGTGGAACGTAGTGTACGTTTGGCTAGCGTGGTCTCCACTTGTGGTGGCTTGTGGTCGCCACGTGGGCGCCCTCCAGCTAGGTGGACTGCCGATATCCGCAGGTTAGCTGGCAGTGGTTGAATGACAAGAGCTGAACATCGAGCTCAATGTCGTGCAACTGGGGAAGCCTATGTTCAGCAGTGGATGGAATAAAACTGATGATGATGATGAAGTGAATAATGTTTAAACAGTGATCGTGTTACACTGATTATTTACGGGTTGAAAAAATTGTAGAAATCTTTTTTGTAATTTCTGCATTTTTATCAATTTTATTAACTTTTTCAATGTGTAAGTGCGGTTAAAAGAAACCCAATCCTTCTCTCCCACCCACTCCAATCCGGTGATCCCGATCCTCAAATCTCTGACCCACAAATCGTGTGTAGACCTATCCCAATGATGATAAAACCACTAGACGGTGCATACAGTGCCCCGTCGCTCGAAAACGATTAGTATTTTATCGCCTATGTCTGGGCCTCGGTACTAGTAACCGTTTAATTGTGACCAAGTGATAGACCTCTACGCACGCAAAATAAAAATAAAATGTTTCTTTAGTTTATCGCATCAAAATGCCTTCATGTGGTTTTATCCTCTTTGACCTATCCCATAAGAAACTTCTTTAACAGAAATCTTAAGATAATTGCGAGCTGTCGCCTACCATGAGCAATGATTATGAGATTATCCATTGAAGGGAAATACCCAAACTAAAAGGAGTAAATAATTGAATTATGGAAGGACAGTTCTACTTAGTCCTTATAACATTTTTAGATAGACCGAGTAATATAAACAAGAAGCCTATTTCTTTGTCTCACGCTTCTGTTCGTTTTGGCAACCACAACGTGATAACGCCCGGACCCGTCGCCCTGCGGCCGGCCCTGACCCCGGTATGCAACCCGTCTCAGACTCTGTCAGTCTTACTGACTAAGATGCACCCCGTCCCAACTCAAGCACTGAACTGATTGCACTCTGCCCGCAACCACAGCTTGACATCGGCTCAACAAAACATTAATTAATTAACAGCCGCGTCGGGGTCGAGGGACAAACGCAACAAGCATGAACGAAATATCCGGAATTTTTCCTTCATGGTAACAAGGTATCGCGACCTCGACCTAAAGCAGGAGAAAGAACGGTTTTTAGTCAGTAAGAGTCTGACACGTCTTTTTATTCCTCACCATGGGCGAGAAAAGTTATTTGATGATTTTTTCCCCACAAAAACAAAACCGGGGTCAAGACGTTCATATCAGAAGTCGTGGCCACCTGAGCTAGGAAATATGAAACTTTGCCATCTGATATCGTATAGAAACGTAATACTTATTTGGTTTAATATTACTTATCCGCTTTTTATTGCAGAAGTAGGAACTCAATGTTATTGATCTTAAATTGAAACACGTTGAATTTATCATTGCTTGACTTGTACCTACTTACCTAATAGAAAAAACTTAAAATGTTTTTCGTGATTGTGTGAAACGGTGAACGAAATTGAGAAGATTTTTGTAACTCATTGTAAGTGTTGTCAAGTTACCAACCTACCTACCTACCTACTTACCTAAACAATTGTAAGTAGGTAGGTAGGCAAATCTAAATGGATATGCTGCTTATGTTGAAAAATAATTATACATTATTACTTTTTTTTATGTAATAGGTCGGCAAACGAGCACACGGATTACCTGATAGTATAAGCAAGCGCCGCCCATGGACACGCGCAACGGAGGAGTTACGAATGCGTTACCGACCTCTTAGGGATAAGGGATTGGAGATTAAGGGATTGGGGAGGAATCGGGGAAGGGGAAGGATTGGGCCTCCGGTAACCTCACTCACACGACGAAACACAATGCTGTGATGTTTCACGCCGGTTTTCTGTGAGGCCGTGGTATTACTCCGGTCGAGCCGACCCATTCGTGCCGAAGCATGGCTCTCCCACACTTACACACTCCCATGTTTGCTTATTGTAATGCAATAACAATCTTGTCTTCAGCACATAATTTAAAACGAAGTCGCTTTCTCTATACCTACATACACATATCCCTATGTACTTAGCTATGCTTAAACCTTGAAAACTACGCAACGGATATTGATGAGGTTTTTCTTATATATACATATAATGATTGAAGAGGAAAGTTTAACATCAATAACATTTCTTGTTAGCTTCTTCCTAAAACAAAATTCTGCTTTTCAATTTTCTTCGAGAAATTCATTTAAGTTATAAGCGTTAACTATAATAAAACGATCAAAGCGTAGAATCACCGACGGCAGACGATCTCGAACCGAGTCAAAATTAACTGTTTGGTTCACCGAACCCTCGTAACCTCCACGTTTATCTTTAAATAGATACACAGCTTCCTTCTTGCGAAGATGGATTTAATTCTAACAGGATTTGAGATGTTTCAAGACTTGATTCGATTTTCTTTGTTAGTATTTTCGATCCCTGATTTATAATAAATTATGATAAGAGTATTATTATGGTGTTATTTCTGAAGTTCTCAGTATTGCTTACGTTGGTATTTAATCAAGTCCTTTTTTAAGTTAGAAAAACATCGAATGAATCCTCCTGCCCTGTATGGAGTAAGGGCGTGTCAGACTTTTACCCTAAAAATCCCGTGTCTTCTGCTCTGGGCCAGGGAAACAAATCTGAAAAAGCGGGCTGCGGCACCTACATTTCAACGCTTGCACTCGCAACCCCGACTGAGCTTAGGAAACCTATGTAGGTAATAAATGTTCGAAAATAAACCTATGTATCTGCATAAGGAGAAACTTAGATAGACAGATAATAATTGAAAAGAGAAACACATAAAACTGATGATTAGCATTTTCTATGAACAGAGAACTAAACAATACGTGCTACAAAATGTTGACAGAAGCAAATTCTACAGCGCCGACACGCACATACCTATCTACCTACACATTTACTGTTACACTTCCGACAATAAGCTATATAACTATAAAATAATGGGATTTGTCATATTGCATTTGCTCTTAGACCTCGTTTCTAAGACACAGCGAGGCGTAAAGCTCTGCCGCAAGCAGTTAAATATTGAATTGAATGGTGGGTAAGTACGTAGCGACATACGGTGAAGGTAAACATAGGGAGGAAACCTAGACTTATAATTTCTAATTATAAGTTTGAAATCGCCAATCCGCATTGAGCAAGCGTGGCGATTAATGCTCTAACCTTCTCCGTGTGAGAAGAGGCCTTTGCTCAGCAGTGGGAACTTATAGGCTGATGATGATGATGATGATGAAGTAGGTAGCACACTTAGGATATGTCACCAAGTTGAAAACTTTATTAAGCCGCCATTAGGAGACTCCATACCATAGCTAATCTTGCTTAACTTGTTGACCTCCGGACACCAGATGTAGCCAGGCCTACCGTGGGCCTACACCACTGGTGACGTAACGCTATGTACCATAATGAGACAGAGTTCAATAAACACAAAAATGCTATCTCTTATTTACTAGCTAGTTCCGCGCGGTTTTACCCGCTGCTCGGCGCCTATTGGTCGTAGCGAGATGTTTTTCAGTCTATAGCATTTACAACACAAAACAATTGTTCAATTTGAATCGACAATACAGTTGACATCATAGAATTAATGACAACACAGTTAGCATATTAGCTGGGCAACGTGTTACTGGTTCGATTCCCGCTTGGAGTACCTGTTTGTGTGATCCACCGATTGTTTTTCCGTGTCTGAATGTACCTAATGTGTTTGTTTGTAAACGGACCCACGACAAGGGAGAAAATCTTATTGTCAGGCATTCGAAAAGAAAAAACAGAGGAAGAACCATCGTTTCCAGAGATTAGTGCGTTCAAGGAAACAACCAAACTATAAACCTTTTTAGGGTAGATTTATTTATTAATTTTATTAGTATAGCTACACCAATTAAATTAATCAGAATCTTTTTAACGCGTGCCAGTTAATTGGACGTTCAATTATTTCCACTTTGACAAATTAACCATCTGACAGATGAAAATCCCCTTCTCTGTGAAAAAGTCGAAAGCTCCTGTAGGTAAGTACTTAACACTTGATGCGACTTATGAATCGATCCCGTACCCCTTTTTTGTCAGGGGAAAATCATCCAATGACTTCTCCCGCCTAGGGTAAGGCGAAAGGGAGTGTCAGACTCTTACTGACTAAAAACCCACCCGTTCCTTCTCCTGTTCTAGGCCGAGGTCGCGGTGCCTCATTGCGCTTACCCCGTAGCCCCGGCTGAACATCAGCCCTATTGGGCCCCGACTGTGGTGGTCTATTGGCTCTTTGAGGCGCGAGCGGAACGCTACGCGCCGTACGCTCGGGTCCGCTGGTCGGGCAGCGAGCTACCCTTACTCGCCGTTCGCAGGAGATAATCTCTCGATCCCCGACGCCCGGAATGTCGCCTTCTGCGGTGGCTGGGGCAACTTTTACGTTTTTTAAGTCGGGAAATCATCACTTGTATATTTGCACTCGCAACCTGGGCTGATATTGACATAAATAAGCTGCAAATTATAAGTTTATTATGTCACCTGAATTAATTCGCTTATCATAAAATACATAAATAAATCTTACGTATTAAGTGTACCTATAGATACCTACATACAGAGTTCTACGGACAAACACGCACAAGGACCATATAAGGTCACCGAGATAGCGTCAATAATACTTCAACTCAGTCATCGCCTAATATGGCAGAGCAATGATGTCACCACTAGCGCCTACATGACATTATGGCAACTTGCACGCTCTTGGTCCAATTACTTCCAATCTTGTTCGCGTTATACGAAATTACGTCAAGCCGACAGGCCTTCAATCAAAACTGTGTGTAGGTAGACACTTTTAATGGATAAATTAGGAACTGTTGCTACGAACTCGTTCCTAAGATATGAAGGTTCAATTTCTTTGCTAGGCTGTACCTAGATGTTTAAGTGGCATTTGGCCGCGTAATCCATGTTTGCTATTACTCAGATCAAAGAGAAAAGAAAATAGGTACCTAGTTAGATTAGCTTTGCAGGTCCTAATACCTTGTCTTATTCTTTTACCCACATAAATACCTACCTACTTATTATTCTGTCACCGTAGGCCTATGATCAGCAGCTTCAAATGCTTAATATTTATCATATATAAATGTATTAAAAGTTCTCTATAAAAGAAAGATAATAGGCAGATCTGATACTCAATGTTTCTAATACCTAGGTACATAGTTGTACCAGATAGGTACCTACTCATATATTTTTAGTTGCCTGCTTTCACACATGGCAACTTGTTTAAATTACTTACATGGTACTAGCCTACACAAGTCTGTTTATATGAGATCTTATAATAACTGCAGCTTCTAATGCGTGCGTTCGTGCAGCGGAATGTTGTTGAATTTAAAGATTTTAATTATGCAGATATTTAGTGTATGTCGTCGTATAATTGTGTATGGTAAAAAAAAATTTGTGCACGCAACCATTGTGGAGAAATTCACCAAAAACTGATTCCGCTGGGCGAACGTTGTCCTGGCGGAACTTTTTTTAATCCATAGACTTTAGAAGAAAAGAGATGTATCCAAAAATTTGTGTGTATTTGTGTGTAATTGTGTATGTATGAATAAAATTAGTGCATGCATAAACTTCGGAGAAATTCAAGTTTCCGCTACGCGAACGTTTGGCCATTAGCTAGTTTTCATATAAAGCGCTTACATAGAGAGCTGTAGATTTTTACATACGTTGTTTTGAATTTGTTTATATTTGTTTAAAAAACAGATTTAGAAAAATCGTAGGGTTTAAAAGATAAAAATATAAACGTAAAATACGCTTATTAGGTCTTAGTTCTTAAAGTATGCACTTTGGGGTCTAGATTTTCACGTTTATACAAACCTTGTAAGTGTCTGCAACATGTTGCCAAGTATCAATGATGTTCCGTTAGTAATTAAATAAGGACAAATTTACCATGAATAGATCACTGTTTACAAAGCAGTCAAATAACACGACTTTCTAAATGAATTGCATAGTAAAATGTATGCCAATAATTAGTGTATTCATTCAACTATTCACATGCAAAATTTCATGTCATTAAAGTCAGTAATTAAAGAAAAACACACACAGATACTGTGTTCATTCAGGATTAAAAAAAGTTCCGCCAGGACAACGTTCGCCCAGCGGAATCAGTTTTTGGTGAATTTCTCCACAATGGTTGCGTGCACAATTTTTTTTTTTACCATACACAATTATACGACGTCATACACTAAATATCTGCATAATTAAAATCTTTAAATTCAACAACATTCCGCTGCACGAACGCACGCAAAGATTTCATGGATTCACTTTTGTGCTTAGTAAGATTATCATTATCATCTATAAGAGTAGGTACCATGTGAAGATAAAATGTAGGTACCTACCAACCTAGATCTAACACTGACCTCACTGCGGGAGTTCATGCGTCAGGGAATAATGATAGGTACTCATATACCTACCTACAGAACTGTTCACCAAAACCTGTGTGTGTGTCTGTGTCCTGCACATACATAGGTATTTAAGAATATGTAATGTTGCTGTATTAGGCATGTAGGTATGTAGTCATGTAATTTCGTACTCCCTAAATAGGAAATGAAACAACAGAGTAGTTTCAACATAATTTTTTGTTTATTTCATTTCACCGGGGAATGTATTACGGTGGATTTCGTGACAAGTTCAGGAGCTTAGTATTCCTCTGCTCCCTCACCCTCACCCTCGGCGGAGTCCATGCCGACTTCTTCGTAGTCCTTCTCGAGGGCGGCCAAGTCCTCACGGGCCTCGGAGAACTCTCCTTCCTCCATACCCTCACCGACGTACCAGTGCACGAAGGCGCGCTTGGCGTACATGAGGTCGAACTTGTGGTCCAGACGAGCCCAGGCCTCGGCGATGGCGGTGGTGTTGGACAACATGCACACGGCACGCTGCACCTTGGCCAAGTCTCCGCCGGGCACCACGGTTGGGGGCTGGTAGTTGATACCGACCTTGAAACCAGTGGGACACCAGTCGACGAACTGGATGGTACGCTTGGTCTTGATGGTAGCGATGGCGGCGTTCACGTCCTTGGGCACGACGTCACCACGGTACAACATGCAGCAAGCCATGTACTTGCCGTGACGAGGGTCGCACTTGACCATCTGGTTGGCGGGCTCGAAGCAAGCGTTGGTGATTTCAGCCACCGACAGTTGCTCGTGGTACGCCTTCTCGGCAGAGATGACTGGGGCGTATGTGACCAGAGGGAAGTGGATACGGGGGTATGGCACCAAGTTGGTCTGGAACTCGGTAAGATCGACGTTGAGGGCGCCGTCGAAGCGCAGGGAGGCCGTGATGGAGGACACGATCTGCCCGATGAGACGGTTCAGGTTGGTGTACGTGGGGCGCTCGATGTCGAGGTTGCGGCGGCAGATGTCGTAGATAGCCTCGTTGTCAACCATGAAGGCGCAGTCGGAGTGCTCAAGGGTGGTGTGGGTGGTGAGGATGGAGTTGTAGGGCTCCACGACAGCGGTGGACACCTGAGGCGCCGGGTAGATGGCGAACTCCAGCTTGGACTTCTTGCCGTAGTCCACGGAGAGTCGCTCCATCAGGAGGGAAGTGAAACCGGATCCGGTACCTCCACCAAAAGAGTGGAAGATAAGGAAGCCCTGAAGACCGGTGCACTGGTCAGCGAGCTTACGGATGCGGTCGAGGACTAGGTCTACGATTTCCTTTCCGATGGTGTAGTGACCACGCGCGTAGTTGTTGGCCGCATCTTCCTTACCAGTGATAAGTTGTTCTGGATGAAACAACTGTCTGTATGTGCCAGTGCGGACCTCATCTGTTGGCCAAAAAAAATATTTGTTAGTGAATCCTTTGAATATTACAATATAAATAATACTAAATATTATAGTAATAGATAGATAGTTGATTTGTTCAGTAGATCTAGAACACTTACCAACTACAGTAGGTTCCAAGTCTACAAACACAGCCCTGGGGACGTGTTTGCCGGCACCGGTCTCGCTGAAGAAGGTGTTGAAGGAGTCATCACCACCGCCCACGGTCTTGTCTGTGGGCATCTGGCCGTCAGGCTGGATTCCATGCTCAAGGCAGTATAATTCCCAGCAGGCATTACCGATCTGGACTCCGGCTTGTCCAACGTGTACTGAGATGCACTCACGCTGTTAACATAGAAAAATAATTGTTAGAAATCTCATCCTAGTAGATTATTGATCTACTCAAAGTCAATTTCTTTAGAGTTTATGAGCGTAACTTTTGATCAAACTGAACAATAATTGAAGGCAGCTATGTCAACCTCATTCTGTATTATACTATAGCAACACTGATGTACAATAATTATTAGACGGCAGTTCTCAGCATTGTTATCATCATGAGGAGAAAGTCGAAAGCAGTCATAAGTACTGGAGAGTACGGGTGAGTGAAAGGTTTCGCCAGGCATGGCTGTATCGATCGACCCGGCCGAGCCGCCATCTTAGTATCGGGGCCATATGACGGGTGGGAATCGATAGAAACCTACCCCAATGAAATTCACAAAGGAAACAATAATTTTCTAAATATTTAGAATGCATAATAATAATAACTCCGTAAGTAATTCAATAGAATATTTATGTTCATTGGTTATTCATCGAATATGTTATCGAATCGAGATTAACCGGTGACGAACGGCGATGAGTCAAGATAATGAATATTTAGATTTAAAAAAGATGTTTGAACAAGTGTTAAAACCCGTTCAATGTAAGGAAAATATACTTTAAGTAGGTAGATAATAAGGATTGTAGGCAAGGTCGCCACGATCTTTCTCAATTTTCTATAACCATGTGACGCCGAGGATAGCATACCTACGTACGGTAATAACAGAACACAGTCTGTAACCTCGAATGAGGTCATCGACACGTCACCGCAAAATCAATCAGTTAAAACTTATAAAACCAGTAAAAAATCAGCTTCAGTACTACGTAATACCTGCTTAAATTCAACTATACACTTAGTAGCAAGATAAATTAGGGGTATTTTCACAAAAAAGAAGGTAATAGGGCGTGCCGGGCGTGACGACAGCGATTATGACTTTTAAGCTTTCATCACCATGGAACGATTTCAATTAACTTTGTTGAGTAAAACAATATCAAATCAAGAAGAGAATACCCGCTATAAATTCAGAAAAAGTGAAAATCACATTCCAAAAATGATACGATGTCAAATTCAGAAGTCTGTAGTACCGGCAATAATCAATTGACGCTAACTATTTTTACACTTGGTCGGGTAACACGCCGACAAAATGGTGGCGTGACCACCCGGCACATTGTTCGTCGAAATAAGACAAATTATGCAACAAAAAGCCCTAATTCCCTGAAAAAAAGATGGTTAGGATAATAATTAACGTGTACTCACCATTTTGAATTGAGTTTTGTTGAACTTAACGTAGAATATAAATTATTTAAATATCAGTCGTCGTTCAGCGCGACCGGTTAAGAGGCTTGCCAAACGAATGTGATTGCAGAAAATTCCGTTACGGCCGCTTTTATAGGGTGCCCGTTGCGGGGGAACGACGCTCCTCGAACGGAGCTGTGATTGGTGGATTCAACTGCCGCATGGGCGGACTAGCCAATAAGGTCAAAGCTGCATTATATCACCGTTGCGGGAATTGTGGGTTGGTGAATCATTCAACTTAACGCCATTTAAGGAAGTTAAGTAAGTAATGTCGATATCGATACACATTCTGAGCTAACGTTCCTGGAAGTTTCGATATGAAGTTAAAATAAAAACATCAACTTGAAGAAATTAAGTGCAGTTATCTATGGATTTAAGATTTACTTAAAAAACCCTTATTACTTGTTTTCTCAATACTTTTTCATACTTATATGTAGATAGTAGCTAAATATTTGTTTTTTTTGCATCGAACGATTATTTTGCTATCACAGATTTTTTAATACAACTAAATTAAATTACTACAACTAATGTTAACTAAAATTAGGTAGTCCATTTTAAACTTGCGCAAATGGTTAGTCAATAACAAAGTAATACAATATAACAAAGTTTCTAAGCTTGTTGTAGTTTGAAAGAGCTTGTATATCCCAATACATCGAAAGCTTTATAGGTACTTATTCACAGTAGATAAACTTAGTTTACTTTAAATTTATTTATTTATTTATTATTTGGAGGACCAACAGCATTAACATTTATTAATTATATAACAAATTATGTAACATGCAGCCAATTATAGGTCCCCACTTTTAAGCTATTGCAACGTGTGATACAATTACAACGTGTGCAGACACAAAGTAATAAGTTACACTGTAATACACAACTACAAAGTTCAATCAACCAATACAATCAAATAAGATGTTTTTTAAGGAAATCACGGCTCAGCATCCTTCTCACTGATGCATGGTTATCATTAAATATGTGAATGTCATGTGACTTGCATGATATGTTTAGTGACTTTCCTGCTCGCCACAAAAAACTATTCCGTCTATAGTTTGATGACGCTAATGCTAAATACCATTTTTTCCAATTCATATTTATGTAATCAGCATAGCAGTTATTTCATTTTAGTCAGCTGACTAAGAATTAATCTGTAGATTGCAGTTGCTAGTTTACGGTTTAATTATATTGCTGTAATTTTTTTCTAATAAACGTAGACCCCAATTTCTAACTAGGGTTCGACCCTACACCTAACTAGTCACTTTGACGGCGAGAGGCATATTCTTAAATTAAAAAAAAGTAAAATCGTACCTATATTACTTGGTGTGCAATAATCACTGCGCAAACTGTTTGCCATGTAGAAATCTGTAACTGGCTTTGTAAATAAATATATGTATTGTATGGTACGTGTTAAATGTTCTTAAAAATATATTAGTTATTTTACAGCGTCCGACTACTTTTGTTGGTATTTAAAATTTGTTCTAAATCTACAAAAATACAACATAAAAGAAGAAAATACTTGAATAGGGGCAAAAATTGTTACAGAAATATACTTATGAATTAACTAGAGTAGGTAATGAATGACAAATCATTTCACAAAAAGTTACTTATACAACTAACTAATAAATTAAAGAAAGCCTAAAAATCTTTGATTGTGTTCTATAAGTATTTATTATACATTATCTTATTGCTCTTCTTGATTGATCTTGAACTTTATTGATCTCTAACAAGATTTTTAAAACTTCTTTACTTTGACACAAATGTCTGAACATCGATAAAACATGCGATTGACAAGCTACATCACTAAAAAGATCGTTATTTTCTCGTTGTAGATGTGTGTACCCGGCGACACGCACACTTAGACAAAAACGTTTTTGTGTGCAATACAATCTGGACCATTTTTGCCGACATTTTCTGTATTCAAGGCAAAAGTTTTTAGAATAATACTTTTATTTTGTCAAAAGTAATGCACATTCTTGGTTTGTCGTAGTTAAAAGTCAATAAACATTGTTATTTCATAGTTGGAGATAGTCGGGCGGATTTCCTACTCACACATACAAAGCTTTATTCTGTGTCCATACGTGGAGTCGCATATAGTGATATTCCATTTTTTTTTTCTTTTAGTTTCAGGCAGGCAAAGGCGGACTACGATCAATACTTAGTTGTTCCTTTAGGCACGAATGAGGCTACTGTTTCCAGGCAAAAGTAATTTGATGGTGACACGCGAACATAATGCGGCAGAATAGTCAGTATAGTTAGTCGGTAGTACAATACAAAGTCGCTTTTTCTGTCCCTTTATCCCTTTACTTATGGTTACCTAATTCTTCAAAACTTCGTAACGGATTTATTATATCTACGGCTTATACATACCGTAATGATAATATATATATAATATCATTGGAAACATACATAGTCGATCACATCTAAACATTTTAGTACCTATTCTTCAATTTGGTAGTTCTAAATTCTTACCTATTAGATCAGATCTAGGTACTAAAAACTTGCACGGTACTTATGTGTTATAAAAGTGTGCCCGGATGCCGGCTGTCCCGGTTGCCCGGTTGCGGTCTTAGACCATAGAAAACTCCATGGTAGTACCGCCCTATCCAATAAAAAAATGTTTAGTGTAGCTTTGTAGGATGACTTGTTGCGGTAATTTGTTTACTAGTAAACTGAAGTCATCATCTCTTTAAATAAAATTCGCGTAATAACGTCTCAATGAAAAATATTCAACGAATAATTTCATAAGTACCTATTTCAATGTCACATTTTGAGGAAAAATATTTACTTCTTGGTATTTTCCCCTTAGGATTCAAATTTTAATACATTTAATAAACTTAGTGTATCACTAGAATTTATTTAATTCAGTTCTCGGTCATCATATTAAATTATTATGAGTTTTGATTTTTATCATAGAGAAATTAACCCATTTTATCTTAAGGTTTTATGCTCTTTGATTTTTATGGTCGTAGGAATCTATATCTACTTAGGTAGTTTCAACTCGATTAAGTTTTTTTATGTTATAAGGCGGTAAACAAACAGGCGGATGGTAACCAAACGGCACCGCTCATAGACAACCACAACACCAGAATTATTAGTTCGTTGCTGGCCTTTTTGGGGATTGAGAGTTGGAGAGGAATTAGGGGAGGAGAAGCCGGTGAAGGATTGTTCCTCCAGTAACCTCACAGAGTCACAGCGTACCTACAACCTCATTAGGCATCAATCATACAGCGAAACACAACGCTGTGGTTATCTCATTTATTTTACGCCGGTTTGTACTCAAAAAATCGGTGCAAATATCTAAAATCGTTGAACAAACCATCATTTACTTACCGGGTTGGTAAGTGAAGCAAAACGAAATTATTTACCGACTAGCTACTCTCGCGCGATGTCCCCGCTACTCGGCTCCATTTAATCGTAGCGTGATGTTTAAATAAATAGACTATAGCACTCAGGAATATTGTAGGTATCTATCAGTGAAAGAATTTTAGCAATACGACCTGCGAGCGGTTCCAAAGATCACCCCCTACACACAAACTTACAATATACCATTTTTGAAAATATTAATATTTGAATATTATTCGGTAGTATTTAGAAGAAATGCTTGCATTTAAATGTTATTATTAACGCCATCTATGAATATTTGGTTGAACTAACTTTACCAACACTCGACATTCATGTCGCTAATGGCAATGTCATATGTAGGTATCAGCGCCATCTATTAACGTATTTTGAACTAATGAAAAATAATGTAATAAGCACTTGAAGTACATTTAAATAAAATGTTATCTATAATCTTTTCCATTAATGTTGCTTATGTAAGATTAGAAGTTTGTTTAACAAAATTTTACAAACTGCACGGTAGGATAATTAGCAATCAATGTTACGTATGATCTTATGAAGAATAATAATGCGAAGTGTGCGCCTACCTAGAACTACCTTGCTAAGCAATAAGCCATACATTTTAAGAATCAAATAAAGAAGACCTTAAACTAAAACGCCTAGCTAGGTACTATACTACTACCACAAGGTAATAAATTTAGAGATAAGACGATGGACTCATCATGTCTGTCCTGAATAACGAGAAAGGAGTAAATTCGAAATGATTTTTAGTTTCACAAAAAATAAATATAAATCAAGGTTTTGTTGAACTTCGCTAGCTTAGGTAAGTATTAATTTGATAGTATTTACCACTATAATTCCAGATCAGTGCGAATCAAACAGACAGCATGAAGTTAGTCATCCATGATGCTCGCTGGCACACTTCACTCGATACATGATATTTCCGTTCAACTTTTCCCGCGCGACGTTCAACAAGTGCGCGCGCAATCATTCCGCGCGCGAACGTATTCTCGCGCAGTTTAAAACGAACTATCGAATTTAAACGAAAAGTAATAAATTACGTAAATTATTAATCGTTGTTATTGAGTGCTAATAATGTTATAAGAAGTTCTCTGTGAATATTAGTGGAGTGTTGTGTCAGTGAAATAATTTTATAACATACGGTAAGTGTAGTTAGATAGATTATAGATTTAAATTGTTGTGCGAATTCAACCTTCAGAAAATTCATGATTTTGTTGTATGTAAGTAGTTGTGTTGCGATTTTTATTCAGTATGGATAAGTTGTATAACCATTTAAGGGCGTGTATAGCCGTTATCTCGGCAAATATGGCGTGAATCAGGTCTTAGGCTGTTTAGGTATTAAATGCGCCCTGTCCGTGGCCCTAAGTCGCTCGCGGCTAACTTTCAAGCGATATTGAGTACCACTGATTTAAGATTAAACTTTCTACCTAAGCATATTGTACCAGCGTTTATCGTTAGTGAAGTAGACCCTGCCTAGTTTAGTTATTTACGTATTTAAATAGTCTTTAGATAAAGCGCTGAATTTAATCTATGCTACTTTAGCGCTAGAAGGTAATTTGCGTAGGCGAATAGTTTCTTAGTATCTAAAATAATATTGTAAATACCTAGGTAGTTGTATTGTTTATGACAGCAACTTTTGAACGCTAATATAAAGAAGAAATATTTGTTTGTTTGGACTGAATAAACTCCGAAAATACTTGACCGATGTGAAAAAATCTTTTGCTGTTTGTAAGCTACACTATGACCGGGATCCAGGTATTTATAATCTAATAACAGACTATGACATCTTATCTCCCCAGCAGATGAATTTCCGATTGGGGAAACATTTTTTTTTAAATGCTAAGTACTCCAGCGCGGTTTCTTCTACAGCCAGGGGTATGATTAAAAGTAATGTACCGCGGTTTGGATCCAGAATGGAAGGAACGGAATTACGGAATGGCTTTCAGTCAGTTCGTGTCTGACACTCTTTCGCCCCTTCCAGGTTGGGAATAAGTACCTAATATTTTTTCCTGTCAAACGAGAAAATGTTCTACTCTATGGGCTACGGTGAGCTCCTAAGGTCAAAGCGTGATGTTTTACAGCTCATACCGCACCTTTCTCGACAAATGGACAATCCAACACAAAAAGAATCGTGCAATTCGAATCAGAAGTCCCGGAGATTTTGTGTCACAAGTATTTTCAAAACTTTCTTACATATCTACTAACAGCACTTTGATAGGTGCGTAAAATATAAATAATAATAAAACCATAATACCTACTTATGGTCAGTTTACGGACCCACTTACCTACACAAAAATCCAGAAAAACGAGAAACCACACAACGGTTTTATTATTTAACATTAAATTTTATTTAGATCTTTAAATTATACTGTCGTAGTCGGCCATAAAACACATAGGTAGGTAGGTAAAGGTAACATACACAATAAAACTTTATTTTTAAACCTTATTTATCACCGCTTACATACAGGCGTAGAAGCCAAAGCACTTACCTAGTTTTATTATTTAAAAAAAAAAACTAATACTACAGATAAAAAGAAACTAAAAATACTTACTTACTTTTTTTGCATTATTATCTGTGGTCATATTCTGGCCCGCGCATAATATTCATGACCACAGATAAATAATAACGAAATAATCTATATTTATGGTAAAAACTACATTTGTATGTGTCAAAGGCAATGACGTATTATATATAGACACGTCATGAACCAACATCGCGGCGCTTAAAAACGGCGAAAATACTAGATAACTACTTCTACGAGTAAAGAAAGGGAAAGAAAATATGACATCGTATAGTGGAATGACTTTGCTAGAGGGAGATAAATATACATCTTCCGTTATGCCGACGGCACGTGACTATACCTTCATTCGCCGGCCGCCATAAGATGGCGGGCACCGGCGTCGAAAAAAATTAAATATAAATAGGTTGTTTGGTGAACTTACGCATGAAATTACACATTTTTGTCTTTAACTTTTGGAGTATAATTTGTACATCGTCTGAACACACACGACGGCATGCTTTCTTTATGTTTCGCACAGGTTTCACACACGATATAAATTACTAACAAACGTAGCGTCGCGCGGCCGGTTGGTGCGTAACTAAGCGCGATGTTGTCAATTGCCTTCATTTCATGTTGTCATTTTAGAGCGCGGACAACGTATCTATAGTTTTATACATCATTGGTCAAAGGTTAAGCGTCTGGATCACGTCCTTCACATTATAAATTCCCGATAAACTTACTTATTTAGGTAGTATTCATAAAAATTACTTTCTTTATACAAAATTATGTGACACATGACAAGTTGGCTAAATAAGTCAAGCAAGAACCATACACACACTCCATGAAAATCCACACTGATGAGATGATCATTTAAAAAATTGTATGAGACATTTCGTGGTGGTCCGGAGTTTAAGGCGCCCGCTTCTCATGCATGAGGGTGCGGGTTCGAAATTAAACCTTCTCCGTGTGAGAAGAGTCCTTTGCTCAACAGTGGGCACATAGAGAATGATGATTTATGAGAGATTGGTGAGAATTACAAGTACTTCTTCAAAAATCTACATACTTAAATGCAGAGAAAGTTTAAAAACAGAACTTTGACTCAGACACATTTCTCCAAGGTCAAGAGGTTAGGTTACAATGGAAGATGGATTCCTGACTGTAAAATCCAGGTCATTATATTATCAAGTGTGACGTCATGATTCATGTTGTCTAATGCCTCATTCATTAGTAATTATGGAGGCTAATGCCCTAGGTGTAAAGTAGAGAAGGTACTGTTAAAACTTATCCTGTTGTTTTTTTTTTCATTTAGGTTTTTTTCTGTCTCTACGTATGGTTTATCTTTTTGTTTTTTTTTTTTAAAAAAACTTTGCCCCCCTCTTTTTTTAAGTCACTGTTGTTTAAAACTATGCAACCAACGGATTTGATTTTTAAAGAATACAGTGATTGAAGGGAAAGGTTTTTACGTATGATAACACTCGTTAAATAGTGGGCAAATTTAGTATCGGCATTGCACCCGCGTAAAGCAAAAAAAAAAAAAAAAATACAACGTCATTTTAATATTCATAAAAATCGGCCAGTTCTGAAGTAGAATAGGAACTACATGCGCCCACGTTGCCAGCTGTTTGTACTGGTGGGTAGGGGAGGGTGGGGTAATCACGGACGGCGGGTAATGCCGGACACATCAGTTTAGGTGTGTTAGAAAAGGGTAGTAGATATTCTCAATGCTTCAATCGCGAGTCGAGTTCGAACGTAGTGCCGGACTGTGAGTAGGGGAGTGAGGCTGCGCACACTTTGCAAGGTATGTAAATTTGAGTTTTTTTCTACAATTTCATCTAATTTTAGTGTAATTTTGAAAAGTTGTATATTATGGCATTAATGACATAGGAATCTGGTATCTTTTATGTATATCGACATGTAATTAGATAAGGTTTTAAAGTACTCAGCACTTGCATTACTCGATTCTAACCTCAAATAAAAAAACAGTTCTGGATATTTCTGTGAATCGGCTAATGACGGACGACTTAGATGGGGCAATCTCGAACGTCCGCAATTACCCCTACATAGATTGATTTTTATCTTTTATTTAAAATATTTGTTTCCACCGGTTAACTGCGGTAGTTTTTGTTTTCTTGTACCTAACCTAAAATATTGTTTCAACAGACTCTTAACTGTTGTGTTTTAAATATGTATACTTACTTACTATATCTATTTTTAGATGCCACGACGTTACCAAAGGAAGGCTGAGACCAAATACAAATTAGAAGATTTAGAAAAAGCCGTTCACGATGTAAGGAACAAAATACTGTCGTTAGGAAAGGCATCTATTATTTATTCTGTTCCAAAAAGTACTATACATGACTATCTCAAGAAAGAAATAATAAATGAACCTAAAACTGGAAGAAAAGCTATATTTACTGATGCACAAGAAACTGAATTAGAACAACATATAATTAAATGCAGCAAAGTATTTTATGGCTTAACAATAGAAATGGTGCGAAAAATGTACCACGCAAAAAGAAGAAAGTCGATAAAGGAGCTACGACGGAGAAAGAGTATTATTGTCTGATTTGTGCCGAAAAGTATGAAGATCCTTCAGTTGAAGACTGGATTGAATGTCACAAATGTAGGTTGTGGGCCCACGAAAACTGCACAAGTGGTAAAAGCACTTCAAAGGGTTTTCTCTGTGATTTTTGTAGGAGTTAGACCACGTTCGTTAGCATCCGAGATTACCCCACACTGTGTCCGTACTTACCCCACGTGCTGTGGGGTAATCCCGGATACAAGGGTTTTGTTTTTTTGATACTAGTTGATTTTATTTTGAAAATATATCTACGTTAAGTATGAGAACAGAAGATTGATTAGTTTAAGTAAACTTTTGGCAATAAATAGTATTCGTAACTTGGTATGGTTTTGTTCTATTTCAATTTTCCCTTAAGTGTTCGCAATTACCCCACTCTCCCCTAGAGTTAAGGTGTGTGGCCATAATATTAACACCTACAACCTACAATGTTCATATGAACATATCATAATGAACATATGTTTTCGTAGTAAATCATACAGAATTCCGTATCACATTCATGTTATTATGTCCATTCTTATATGTGGGGCTGTGGGCGATTTTTATTTGATCAAAGTTACATAAAAATTTGTCAGATCCGTAGGTATACCTATGCCTTTTTTTAGTTCTTTAACTGAAAAGGATAGATTTACTAAATTCCTTGTTTGTCACTTCGAAGTGTTGTTTCAAAGAGCTAAGTAGGTATAGGAAATTTTAATTTTGTTCAAATGTTGACACCAATTTCCATTTCAATCACGCTATCTATTAAAAAAAACGCATTAATAACCGTTGCAAAGTTTTCAAGATTGAAGCAAACATAGGGACAGAGGGACAGAGAGAGCGCACCTCTCGCCATCAAACGAATTAGTTTGGCGAGTTTAGTTGTAAGATATGAATAAATTTATTAAAAAAGAACCGCCGATTTATTAAAAAGAATTAAATCTATGGTCATTCATTTATCAGGGAATGTTCAGTCTCTGTGAGGCAGTTGAGGTTAATCTCTGTTAATTGTTTGCCCTTTAAAACAATTTTCCTTAAAACTTCAGCTTTATACCATCAAGGCAAATATAGCAGTCATTGTTTA